CAAATCCACATGCTGGCAGCAGATGAGATGAGAAACGAGGGTGCCTGAGTTCCCTCCCAGACTGTAGAGGGCAACATGTGCCACCAGGAAAATTTTCTGTCCATGTTTCTCACATTTCCCATTGTTTCCAGACCCTTGAAAACAAGCAGCACCTTACCTTTTTCTCAGCAGCTCCAGAAACCTTGGTGGCTTAATCCATTCTATCCTCACTCAGAAAATGAAGATCTCCATCCTCCCTCCTTCTTCAGCTATTCCAGCCCAAAACACAAAACATTCTTCAATCAGATTTACCCCTTTCATTCACAACTGGCTTTCACATCTCCTCCTTCTGCCATCTTGCTTCAATACCAGCATGGTGATCATCTCACGACAGAAAAAAACACTGCTTCCCTGCCAGCTCAGTGCCCCATTTCACAACGTGATGCAATGACTTGCAGGGGGAGCGTGATTGGCCACCACCTGCAGAAGGCCTGGCAGCTGCAAGGAGATGGAGCGTGCTCCGAGAGGGTTTTCAAGGGATGATTTGGAGATGGCTTTTTGTCTGCTGAATCCCAAGACCCATAAAAATGTCAAAAGCCATAAAAGTTACACTTGCAGTTTGTGTGGCGTGAGGGAGATGAAGTGTCTCAGACAAAAAAAAAAAAGAAAAAGAAAAAGAAAAAGAAACCCTGGCAGATGTGCTGGAAATGAAGGAAAATGCTTTTTTTTTTTTTTTAGATTTGTTCTTGGAAACATCCTGAATCATGTTTACTTTAGTTCTTCCAGAACATTCGGCATGAAAATTTTGGTATAATGCTTAGATTTTTAGGAAATGGTAGGCAAATGGATCCAAGATATTTTTATTGAAAATACAGCCTTAATATGCACTGGGGTGTTAATGCTAGATAATGAAGTAATAAGTGTTTCATCTTCTTTCGGTCTTGCTTTTCTCCTTTCCATTCTCACTCATTATCAAAAAACTGCTAATTGCTGCACACTCTGGGCCTCTAACATTTTAGTCTGCATTGGAGACCTTTTTGCTGCAGAACAAATTCCTCGTTATCTGGAACATCTAAATTAATTGATTCCGCTGGTTATTGCAGAGTCATAAAAACAGTGGTATTAAATTGGGGACAAAAGTCGAAGGCAGAGATAAAGCAGCAGTGTGCTCAAGCTGAAGTGATCTGAGCACCGTCCTTGGACTTCTCTTAAACAGATGACTTTATTTTGTAAAGACAATATTCTGCCTTAGTAAGTTAATTGATGTTATCCTGGGCTTGGGCACGCCTGCTGAGCTGCTGAGAAATGCCACCAGGTTTATGTTGCAGGTGGAAGCCACTGTACTCTGTTCAACAGATACAGCTGCCAAGAGACGGCTACTGCTGCCTAAATGACATGAGCAAATTCATGTCTCATAGCTGTTTTGGTCAGCCCAGCAGTTCCTTTATACTCTACAGGTAGGTTGCAAACTTGCAAAAAAACAATGAGACAGTGGAAATTTTGCTGTAATGAAAGCATGGCTCTGAACACTTCCAGACACGTTGCAGCAGAACAAAGCTGTGACCTGTTCTTTCATCTGTCACCCTAAGGGCAGGAAGATCTTTAAAAGTCAATGCCTCATTTCTGAGTGTGCATTAGAACAGCCTAAACTGGTCACAGGGGGAAATTATTTTATAACAATCCTGTAAAGGGAGAGACGAACACTCAGTTACTCAGCTTTCAGCAATACGGATCTCAGCACCCATGCGGAAATCCAATGAATAATTTTTGAAACAATGTTGTCCCTATCTTTCCAGCTGCCCTGTAAGGTGGGTGGTCAATGCAAAACCGACCTTGTCTGCTGTTGCTGAGGGACTGATGGCCGTCCGGACCAGGAGGGGAACGGCCCAGTGTTTCAAAGCAAATAAACCCCTGCTGGGTCTGGCTTAGGGGCATCTCCCCTTCTAGTAGGACAGTGCCCCCCACAGCCCAGCTTCTGATTGCATAGCAGGATGCCTTTTTTTTTTTTTTTTTAAAGCACTTCAATGGAATTACCTCACTTGTGGGGTTGTTTCTAATGTTGCCATTATCTAGAAATATCTCCACTTAGAAGTAAAAATCTCATGCTTATTTCAGCAGATGCTTGAATTTCTGATGGAGAGAAGAATTCTTGGCTCTTTCTAATTTGCTCTTTCTAATTCCAGTTAATTCCTGGTGGGGTGTTTCTGGGAAATTGGGATGTTTCCTCTTTGTGGGAGGACACAAATATATGCAAGAGCATGCACAAAACTATGATTTGATTCACTAAAACCAGCTGTTTGAACAAATCATCCAAATACAGCAAATACTATTACTCAACAGCGACATCAGTCTTCACCATGTATGTCCCAGCCTGTTGCCTGATCTCCTTCCTCCCTTCCCTGTCTCAACCATGTTTTCCAGAGGATGTTGGCATTTGTGCTGGGGTTCAAGCCTTGCTGGCTCAGAAAGCCACAAGGGCTGGGAGTATTGGCTCTCATTTTCCTGTTCACTGAACAGTTGACCCGCCTCTCTGGCCCTCCTTGGGAAGCACTCAAAGGCTTTTTGTAAATATGTATTAAGGAAGCCTGAATGTATCTCAGGGAGGTGGCCCTGCGTCCACTTGAATCACTTGAATGACAGCTGAATGAGACCTCTCTGTCAGGGAGTCACAAAGAATGGGTCACAGGAAAGCACTAAATGTGTTTTTGTAACTGGTATGAAAAATGCTGTAATAGCGAGAAAATGAGCTGACACTTGTAAAAGCATAATCCACCATCAAACGAAAGATTCACCTGTCACTGGAATAGTCTTTATCCAGCACCCGTATTTGGGAACTGTTTTAAAAAACACAGCTGCTTTCAAACAAGAACTTGAATCTTCTGTAACCACTTACAGTATATCCCACTGCCCATGGATCTGCCGAACTGAGCTGTAAATGCAAGGTGCGATTGCATCAGCTAATGATATTCCTGCTGTGCTCTTTGGTTTGAAATATTGCCCTGATAATTTGAGCTAGATACAAGTTGAAACTATCTGCAAAGCAGTACACACCTCTGGGAGGGTGACTTGCTGGTTGTATTCACTGTGTCCAATAAAAAGGGAATGCCATTCATAGAATCATGGCTTGTGTTGGAAGGACCTTGAAGCCCATATCCATTTCCAACCCACCACTGAGAGCAGGGCTGCCACTGACTAGATCAGGCTTCCTTAGGCCCCATCCAACCAGACCTTGAATGCCTCCAGGCATGGAGCATCCGTAGCTTCTCTGGGCATCCGGACAACTTCTTTGGGCAAACTGAACCGTTCCTGTGTCATCAGTGTCATGCCATCAGGACACTGCACAGGGTATGCCTTTGTTTTCCCTGCCTGTGGCTCCTTGAGAGGTACCAAGGTCTTCCTAAGAAATTTGGGTCCTTATGGGTGTCCTAAGCTATGGGAAGCTCCAACAAGTGAAGGCTCTTCAGGACTAGGCACAGGTGCACCTCCTGGTACTTGCAGGAGGTGTGCCGGAAGGAAACATCAGCATATGAGGGATGAACAGGCCTTCCTCTGCAATACATTGCTGTTGGTAAACCCAGCACTTGATGGGTACCAGGACCCCCGCAGTCCATTACAAGACTTCAGAGAAAATGTTTCTGCTGGAAACATTGTCCCAGGAAAGCTGGCTTGCCTTTCTGGTGCCCTAAATACTGATGAGCATTTCTTGTCTGCTTTCTGAAAGGTGAGCATGGTCCCATTCTTGTACTTGACAAGCTCTTTAGAGGAAGAGCAGAAGACATGGGCTGCCGGAAGGAACTAGAAATAGAAGATCTATTGTCTGAGTAGACAAGTGATTCTGGGAAGCAAAGCCCCACTCTCTATCAGCATATAAGACAGTAGGTTAAAGAGGGAAGAAAAGCTATTAACAAGAAGGCAGCACTGGCATGAAAACAAATAGATAAAAATAGGCTCAGAAAAAAATGTGGGCTGGAAATCAGAACAAGTTTCCTCAGTGTCAGAGTGAGGCTATGGAATAACCTGCCAAGAAAACTCTTAGCGACTTCTGAGATGGACTGTGATAAATTAAAAAGAGGGACTTCATGACTCAGTGCTTGTCACAGCAAAGGAACATGACAGTGACTTGGAGATCCCTTCTAGTCCCACATTCCTGTTGATATGATAACAGAGGAATCTGTGTAAGGCGCAGTAAATGCTGAATCACTGAGCGCTTTATATAGCTGCCTGGCAGAACAAAGTCCCTTGCTCTCATCCTGTCTGCAAGAAGCTCTAGGACAGAAAAAAAAAGAGAAAAACAAATCCTTACGTAAATGGTTGTGATCTGACAGCAAAAGCATAAAGCTGCAGGTGCCTGAGCTAGAAGAAAACCAGCTCAGCTCAGCTGCAGGCTCCTGCACAGTGGAGAGAGCTAGTGGTGTGGACAAGAAAGCAAGAGACCTCGCTGGGAGAGGACGTGCCTGGAGGTGAGTGTGCCCCAACAGCTTCAATCCGTAACTTCTAACACATGAAGGAAACTCAGTGCTTCAAGCTGTGTGTGTGTATCCCATGTGCTTGCTGCAGCATGTGCATGGAGGGGATCATTTCCACAGTGGAAATGGTCAAGAAATTTATTTAACATCAACTGCTGAAGCAGTCACATTTCTGCTACCATCTCAGGACCTATTGATTTTTGTATGGTATTTTTTTCTGTCTCTTGAGTATGGGATCACTTTCTGAAGCACAAGGCTGTGGTCAGGCTGCCGCTTGCACCGATGGGTTTAATGCCTCACAGATGGACATCTACAGCTTATCTGTCCTTGGCTTTAAGAGCAGACTTTGGGATAAGATCAGCAGCTGCAGTTGGAGGAGTACACAGAGGTAGAGGCCGAGGAGGAGGCATGTGTGAAGAATGGGGTAAGGTAAGAGACTGGTGTCTGGGCTCAGGAAAGCGAGAGTGCTCAGGAGAGAGCCTCACTGAAGCCCTCATGGCTGTTGGACAACTCTTCCACAGCTTCTTTCAGACCTGTGGAGGCGCCCCTGTGGATGTTGGTGCTCTCTCACCTTCTCAAAACCTGAAGCCCACTCTATCTAGAGAAGCAGGGTCATCAGCTGTTGCTCCTCAAATTGCCACAAGAATTCCTACACTTCTTTTTCTCTCTGCAGACTGGGGAAAGGTCCTTCATGGGTCACCTGTGGAACATTTCCTGTTGCACTGTCCATAGCAGGGCACAAGCATACTGGCTGAGACAGTCTCGCTATCTCCTCCTATGGGCCTTGTATAGTTTGGAGACAGCAGATAGAAACATGGTTCACGTCTTGGAGACATAGCTCAGGAAGCTAGAAACATTCAGAGGGCATCACTGCTCCTGTGGGACATTGATGCTACAGGCCCCGACGTGTGAGACGGCTCTCAATGAGCTCTCTTCTGTAGATGCTGGCAACAAAATACACATCAGGGATGTGAGCTGCCACATGCCTTTCTGCCATGGCAGCGCGTGCACCCCTATTCCTACAGTTGCTCAGAAACCTTGGATTCTGGGCAAAATCCTAATTCAAAGGTGCTTTGAATCTGCTAACAAGGAGTCAGGCTCCTGTAAAGACTGCGTACAAGGAGCTGTGGGGGAACAAAATACTAAATACCAAATACTAAAGATAAGCAGCGGGAAGGCATGCAGTGCGCAATGCCCAATGTGACAATCCCCATAAAATTAAGGGCAATAAAAGGCAGCCTATCATCTTTCTCTATTCTCTCCTCTCATGTGCAGGCAGCCTGGTCCATCACGCAGAGCTTCAGTTCTTCCTACCTGAATTCAGCATGTGTTCTTTGCTGGATATGGGAGAAGGCTGGAGCTGGGACCCACCAAAAGCACTAGGCATTGCTCACATACACCCTCTCCATCTTGTTGACACCACTCTCCTTCCCCACACCCCACCCTCCCTTCAGGGGATCCTGTAGCAAGCAGAGCCTCCGTCTCCCTGCATCCCACCAGGGCAACAAACCCAATAGAGCCAAGCCCAGCCCCTTCAGCACTGTCTCCACAATTGGCTGCCCTCTCAGCTGGGGAAGGGTCCACCAGGATCTCAAGAGTACATGGGCCTTGGAGACTGGGATCACACTCTGGAGTGTTTCCATTTCAGGAACAAGGTGGAGCTGGGGGAATAGTGTTCCCCTCAAGTATATTAACACAGGGTGGTGGGCATGGAATGGGCTGCCCAGGGCAGTGGGCATAGCACTGAGTGCCACAGTGCAAGGAGGGTTTGGACATCGCTCTCAGACATAGGGTTTGGATTTTGTGTGGTGCTGTGTGGAGACAAGGGTTGGACTTGATGATCCCTGTGGGTCCCTTCCAACTGGGGATATTCTATGATTCTGTGATTACTGGGTTCAGTGATTTGTTCCAGAGCCATAATGTTCAGCAAATCTGGAGAAAAGCAGGGAAGAAAAGGCAATGACGGTGAGGGGGTTCACCCTCAGAAAAGGGTAATTGAGAGAGACACACTAAGAGCTGGGCTGGGGACACACCTGGTGCCATCCCTTCAGCACAAGCTGCTTCCTGCCTTCACGAGATCCTGTGGGCTGGGCTCCAGCTCTCAGTGCCCTTTCTTTCTCCTGTGGTGGCAGCCACACACTGAAATGCCTTCACACGTATCCCAGCAGAAGTAGGAACACCACATTTACTGGGCTTGGTATTTCTCAGATGAAAATTAAACAAACCGCATTAATTTAAACAAACCTAAACCATTCCAGACTACTTCACCCACCACAAAGGCATACATCAGGGCACACAAGCCCCAGAAAAAAAAAAAAAACCAACAAGGGGGAGGTATGGGGGGGAAGGAAGGACCTTTTCAGATCCTCTTTTAAGACTGTTTGTTTCTCCTTCCCTTCAGCGCCGACCTGAATGTAACCTATGACCATGCAACCAAGCCACACAAAACACAGGGACACATCCAGAAGTGTCACCTTTGGACTCCACGCTTAAATTCAGATACTACTGAGCCTTAACAGAGAGCCTCCAACATGCCCTGGGCCACAAGGCCTGGCTCACAGGCTGTGAGCTCTCCTGCCATCCCCATTCCAGAGGGATGCACTTCTGTATCGCTGTTTTTCCTCTAGTAAGGTGCGTTTTGGGAGGAAGGAGGCACTAGCCTTTGAGGCATGGGTGCTTGTGGTCACACAAATGTGGGTTTCAGATCTTCTTTGAAGTTCACAACAGGCTGAGTCTTGCCCTGGGGCTCCAGCCAGCATCCCACGGCTCCGCCAGGCTCCATATCTGTCTCCGTGCTGCTGCTGCTGCTGCTGCTGCCCAGAGAGCCTCGGGGACTCTGCAGGCAGAGCTGGCAACATGGCCTGTGGCAGCAGGGAAATACCTCCTCGGAGCTGCTGCTGGAGTCCGAGTCTGGGTAATGGTACAGTGAGTGCAGAATGGGATGTGCCGGCACCCCCAGGCTACTCCACTGCCGCCAGTCCTGTAGGGAAATGTTGCGGCAACCCTCTAGTTCTGTGCCGCTCACCGCCCAGTCCCGCAGCCCTGGCCAGCCCTTGGCAGGGATGGAAGGAGAGGACAGCGATGGCTGGGGGAGCCCCCTGCCAGCCCCCTCACCTTCCCTACCTGGCCCATGGCCCGCTGGCTCCCCATGGCTCCTGGTGCCCGGCCTGCTGTCTGCTGTGCACCAGGCACGAGGGGATGCAGGGAGGCCAATGGAGGTGGGAGGCAGCAGGACACGGCGCCGCCGTCGGGTCAGGTAGGGGCTGAGGGAGCTGCGGACGGCTGGGTGCCCCCCCTGTGCCCCACACATCCCGCCTGTATGTGTAGGGAAGGCTGGGCTGCAGGTTCTGCTGTCCAGGCTGAGCTCCTGCAAGACTTCCTGCAGCTTCTCACTGCTTACATAGCTGACCTTGGGGGGATGCTCTCCAGCCACACCAGCTGAGGCATCCTGCTCCAAAGGATGCTTCCCAGCAATCATTCCACACTCCTGGGCATGTTCTGGGCTGCATTCAAGGCTGTTTCCCATGTCAAAAAGCAGTGCTGGTGAGCACTCAGGCTCCTCCATCAGTTCGTGCTCATGGCTCACATGTTTCCAGAGGTCCTGAGCATCGCTGCTAAGAGGCACGGGACTGTGAGGCAGTGCATGCAGCACAGAGGAAGTTTGCTGCCCATCTTTTTCTGTATCCAGGGGCCAGTGCTCCCTGGGCACATCCCCAGTGCTGCTGCACTTCTCGCAATGCTGCCCTGTGCTCTGGGTGCAGGGATTTGGCACTGCAGGGCTGCAGCCACCCTCTGCTGACATCAGCCTCATCAGCTTCTCCTTGGCGTTGTTCACTTGCTCCTGCAGGCTCTCAATCATGGCGTTTTTCTGCATCAAACAAACAAATGTGTCAAGCTTCTCTGCTCTCACTCCATCTCTGCATTTCTTTCTTCCCCCCCCACCCCCCCTTTTTTTTAATAGAAAAACAGGTTATGCCCCAATTTTGACACTTCAGGATGAGGATACAGAATGACAGGACAAAACAAACCAGCTTGTCCTCTCAGGAGGGGGGACAGAGGTGTAACGAGGGGCTGCCCATCCCACCAAGCTGGGCGAGAGAGGCCATCAAGTCCTTTACCTCTGTCAGCAGCTGCTTCATGGAGTTCTTCTCCCCTATCAGCTGGTAGAGCTGCTCCTCACTGTACACTGAGTGGTAGCTCCTGCTCGGGCTGCTGAAATATTTTGCCATGTGGCTCAGAGTCTGGTTTTCTTCTTCAAAGGCCTTCCACTGCCTGAGCTGCAGGCACAAGGAGCTGTTACTGGGGGGAGGCAGCCACAGCAGGGAGAAGGAGAAAACAGGATGGAGCGTGGGGGACAAAGGCTGTGATAGATGTGCATGGAGACAGGCAGTGAAGTGATGCTGCTGTGAGCATCCCGTACAGCCACACCCTGCCCGCTCCCTGGCTTGGCTTCTAACATTAAGATAGTCAGCTCCTGCCTGTGTTGCAGCCTTCAAGCGTGCAGCAAAAGCCCCCCTCCTCCAACCCTGTAACAAAGAGAATTGCACACAGCCTTGGCCCCAAATCGCTGGTGACAAGCCGTCAACTGGCAGTGCTTTGGGTCTGTTTTCTTGTCTAGTGCTCTGCACAGCCCAGCTCACACCACTCATCAATCTCTGGCGAGCAATAGAAGAGCAAGCCCATTAGGAGAAACAAGGCGATGAATTAAAAGATGCAGGATAAATAAAATGCTCGAGGCCCCCAGGCTGCAGGAATGGAACAGCAGAGGCAGGAGGCACAAAGCAGCACAGCTCAGCCACTCGTTCTTGCTCAGAGAGCACGAGCAGGCATGGAGCTCCTCAGGGGCTGCTAACACAGGGGTTGGGGCTCTGTGCTTACATGGCACTGATCAGCTGCAGGAGGATTGCCAAAGCAGGCGGTGACCTTTTTCCCCTCAGGTATTTGTGTGCCTGGATGAGATCCCTCAACTCTTGCACAGATCTGCTCTTTCTTCAGCTTCACCTTTTCCTCCCTTCCTCACTGTTTCCTCGAGCCCTAACATCCCTCCAAACCCAACTCCAAGCAAGCAGCTGTTTCCTCTCGCTGTGACAATGGCCGCATTTTTCCCACTAATGGCACAGAGCTGGCACAGTACCTGGGGGACAAAGATGAAGCAGTTGATTGTTGTCGTACACACAAAGATGCCTCCAGAGGTGAAACCGAAGAGCAAGTTGTGCCAAGTGCGGAAGAAGCGGTGAATCAAGACAACAGTGCCGGCTACCAGGAAGATGAGGTTGACCCCCACGATGAGTGTTAGGGACTGGTTGACCGGTGGAGAGCTGACGCTGTCAGTCAGGCCGGCCAGGTACGTCCCATACAGCAGCAGCACGCTCTGGAAGCAGAAGCCAGGCCCTGCCTTCAGCATGGAGGCTGGCAGAGCATGGAAAATGACATCCCGAGGCCAGCTCCCACCCCATGCCAAGACACTTGCTGCCATCCTGATTAAGGCCCCCTGATGCATCCTGCAGCCTGTGTGTGTGCAGCAGGCACTCCACAGAGAGCAGCAGCTGCAGGACAGGGATGCTGTGTCAGCATCAGCTGGGCAGGAAGGCAGAACCAGTGGCAGTGGTGGTACCAGCGATGCCACGGGGCAGGGTACAGCCTGGAGAGGGGGAAAACTTTCTCCAGCATGCTGCAATGAGAGCAGCCAAGGCAGGTGAGAGATACAAGTCCCTTCAGGGACGTTCTGCAACAACATGGGAACGAGGCAGTGGGGGACATTCTGCAACAACACACCTCTGACGGAGCAGAAAGGAGCCTCAGAAGGATGTGCAGAAGGAAACAGCAGGACGGAAGAAGAAGGGGGGTAGGCTGGAGGGAAGAGGATGTCCTTGGTTCCTCTAAATAGAAATCCAGGAAACCAGTCAGTTCAATTCTTTTCCCTTCCCTGCTTCCTGCCCGACTCCAGTGGTGGTGCTGGGGCTGGAGAAGGGCTCTGAGCAGAGCAGCCTCCTCCCTGCTCACACTGGCAGGCAGCACTGAGTATTTTATACCTTCCTCTGTATCACAGGGCATGATCTGCCATAAGCATCCTTTGGAAATGCCATCTAACACATTCCTTGCTAATGCAAAGACCCAAACAACAGGAATGTGACTCCTACATTACCCCTGTGGCACCCAGCAAGTGCAGCTGTCAGCCTTTTGCTGCTAATAAATATTAAATTGTTATCTGGGCACCAAGAAGAGCTTTGTGGCCAGTGCAGCACATATTCTGTAGACTCTCAATCTAAGAGCACTGTGAATTGTCACAGGGAGCAGCGGTGGTGAGAGAGCATGGAATCAGGCAGACACTCAGACCCGCTCCATAGGAGCATGAGATTCCTAACTGGACCACAACCACATTCACTGGATCGTAACAGCATTCACCACTGGGCACCTCCAAACATACATCCTGATGGCAAGCACCAAAATGCCATTTAAAATTCACATAGTCTGCCAGGAACGCAGACAAAAACACTGCCATCTGGTAAATTGGAACTTTAAATAAGCACAAGGCTAAGTTTTGTCGTTGTTGTTGTTTTAAATCCTGAGCCGAGGACTGCACTCCTCATTCAATTGATGACCTTGGCAAGCCATTGCTGCCTATTGCTGCATGCCAGTAAAAGCAGGATAATACACTGAGTGGCTTCACAAAGGGCTGAGTACAGTAATGCCTTGGAAGATAAGAAGTGCTACATATACATGGAGATGGAGCCTGCTCTCCCATTAGTATAAGTCCTGATTAACTCCAAAGAAACCATTAAAGAAATACCTGCTAGATAGGATCGGGGTCAGGCTGAAGGCACCGCTAATTAAGATTAACTATGACCGAAAAAGTTTTATTGTGAATGGAGGAACAAAAACGGCCTACAGGGAAAGCATTCCCATCTAAGCCCTGAAGAAGTCTAACACTACTGGAGACAATGTCAGGAATGGAGACACATTCCATTGAAAAGTGGCTGCCCAGGGGAGGTCTGAAGTCCCCAACACCAAAGGCCTGTTAAGGCTAGGCTAGGTAAGCTAATGTCTCTAAAATGGAGTGTAGGGGGGAGAAGGACAGTGTCTCAAGCCTCTGTCTACTCTTTTTCCTACAGTTCCTGGTAGATGGTCAGTGAGTCAGAAGCAGATGAAGCCATGCACAAGGGCAGGCTGTGATCTCACCAAAATCTTCTCGCTGAAGTGCTTCCAGCCTCTGCCAGAGACACATGAGACCACGGATAATTACAGCTATAATTACACTTACATAGTTACATCAGTATAACTAACTCTCCTGGAATATGAATGGCCACGTACAACACTACACCAGTGAAAGTGAGCTTCAGTGGTATAATTAAGCCGATAAACATCCTGTACAGGTAGGCACCAAGCACCTGTCGTCAGCACCTCACCTCCCTGATGTGGTGGCAGAGGACTCAGGGGCATGGTGCATCACTGGGGTGGGCGGTCAAGCGAAGCCTCATGGAAAAAGTGAGCTTTGGAAAACACTGAGGCAGAAGTTCTAAGGAGGAAGAGAGATGAGGTGTGTGTGGCTACAAGGTGAGAGCCGGAGAGACAGCAGGGATAGAGTGGCTAATAGGGAATGCAAGAGGGAAGGAATAGAGATGAGAGCATTTCAGGGTGAACAGGAGCAGCTGAGATCTTCAGCTCACATGTGGCTTGGGAGGGCAGTGAAGTTAGAATACTGCTAAACAGTTTAGGCTGTGAGATCAAAAAGGAGGCGAGATACATTGTGAGAATCAATAAATCGGTTACGTACCTTAAACCCTAAAATGAGAACGAGCCAAAGATCGGAATAAAGAGATGCACAGGACTGCATCCGGCTCACTGAGCAGGTCATGCCTTTCTCTGTGGCCTACGAGGCAATGGGAAGGCAGAAGTGAAGACTGCTGCCCTGCCCAGGAGCAAACAGACCAATGGGCAAATGGGTCTGCACACTCCTAAAGGGAAATGCCAAACTTGGTGCTGCTGAGGAAGACAGTAAAAGGGAAGTTGTGGTATTCCAATTTCAACAGGGCTGGTTACATCTTTTCCTAGAGCAGCTGCAGACAGCAAGGGGCTCTCCTGTGGCACCCAGGTGACCTGCACAGACTGGCCTTGGCCATTCACCAGGACCCCACTATTTGGCCAGGCAAGGCTCTGCTACCAGATACCGCTTCCAGGTCTGTGGCTGATACTTCTCTATGTAGTAGGCCACAGACACAAGCCTAGCCTGGAGCATCCAGAAGGCTGCACAGCTCATCTCTCTGTCTGGTTTTCAAACAGCCCCTCCAAATGCTTAACCATCAGCCAGCTTTGCCAACAGAACTCGGACAGGACACAGCACAGCACTGCACCATCGCATTACCCGCAATGAGATGCTGCGGCTCCGGAAGCACTGGACCGGGTCGGAGAAAACCCACGTGAAGAGCAGCACAGCATCTGCCAACACCAACACCGCCACCATTGCCAGCAGCTGGAGGTCTTTGATAATCTGCAAACATGTGGAAGTGTTACAGGAGAGTGATGTGGTGGTAGCAACAGCCATTCCAAACTGCTGCATGCTGTTCTGGGCACTCGGTACTCACCACCCTCTTGTCTGGCACCCGCTGGGTGAACACCTTGTAGAGCCTCCAGCTCTTCCCCAGGATGGGCCCAAACACCAGGGAGGTTCCCACACACAGCAGGCAGAGTCGCAACTGCAGGCAGGAAAAGGAGCTGAACTGGGGACATGTCTATAGAGCCCCCAGCTGACACTCGTGTCCAGCTCCCACCCACATCCATGCATGTGGACACGTGCGAGGGCACCCATTCTGTCAATCCCTGCTCACCTGAATGAGCATTTCCACTGATTTCCCCGATGACAGGCTCTGCTCCTGAATCCCGAAGAGGTAAGCACTAGTGTAAGTCAAGCCACTGCCCAGCAGGGTCACAACGTTCAGATTGGGGCTGGACATCTTCACGATCCTCCAGGAGACAAAGCAGGGAAGTGGTGACTGAGTTACTGAGCGCAGCGGCCCAGCAGCACTGGGACGAGGTCCCCTTGCAGGGATGAGGGCGGCCTTGCTTGCCTCGTGCTGTCCCTCAGGCTCATCCCTGCCGTACTTTGTCCCCTCAGCACTGGCCCTGATACCTGGGGAAGACCTTGCAGCAGGAAGGGAGGCCCTCACCTGTTTTTCCTGAAGCGGATGGTGAAGGCAAGGAAGAAGAGCGCAAGCAGGACTCCTCCAGTCAGAAATGTCCACACAACTCCCAGGAGGGCAGCAGAGAAGGATGGGGAGCTCTTCCCACTGCGGTCAGATGACGTCTGAGGAAGGTGGAAGGGGTGAGGAGGAAGAGGACATCTCTGGGGCTCCCAGTGAGGGAGGTCCCTTCATTGGCATGGCTGCTCAGCTCCAAAGAACATGCAACCATGCTTCCCAAACTCCTCTCTCTCTCACACACACACATACAAAACAACTGCTGTTTCCCTGGACATCATCGGCCTGTGACCGTGTGAAGTTGATGGAGCACTTTGTTTACCACTGAGCAGAGTAAATCCTTGCCCTAGCAGGGGGAATATTAATTGTAGCAAAGCTGCCAGGGCCGGGAAGCCAAGCAGCTTATGGCCCTCTCATTAAGGGCTGCGCTCGGCCGGTCCCTGTGGCAGCCTCACGTGGAGCCAAACGCCTGCACACGCGTCACCAAGTTGTTCCTGCTGGCCCAGCAGTGGGGACAGGTGCCTCTTATTGCAGATGGTGACTTTTAATTAAATGCTGCTCTATTAATATTTGAAAAGTTCTTTGAAGTGGCAGGGGGTGGGAAAGGCCAAGGGTAGACAAGGACACCCAAAGTGCAGCCTCTAGCAGGAGGGGACCGTGTTGCCCCGTGACCCTCTCCATCCCTCCTCCCAGATCCCCTTCCCCAGAGGAAACATACAATAGTGACAGTGCAGAGCTCCTGCAGCATCCGCAGCTGCTGCTCCTTGTCGCTGAAGCCAGGCTGGCCATTGCAAAGGTCAGAGCAGTTGAAAGCCAGCTCCATAGCACATCGTCAGCCTTCATCCAGAACAGCCTCTGATTCAGCGCAGGGTGCCCGGGTGACACAGTGCCATCCTGCACCGTCCTGCCCAGCCCCTCGGGGTGCCCTGCAGACCAACATGGAGTGGGTGTCATTGCAGCCTCCAGCCCCCCAGTGCCGAGCTGAGGCCAGGTGCGTGCCAGTCCTGGCACCCCGGCCCCTGTGCACTTTCACTGCCTCCTTTGCTCCTCTTCGGTGGGGATTTTAATAGGCCTCATTACCATTTTAGACATGAGGTCATACTTATGCTCAAGCATCCCTGCCCAATTACCATTGTCACTGGTTTTAATTAGCTTCCCGTACACGGCCCTAAACGAGGTTCCTGCCGCCAGCAGCTGGGGAGGACGCGCGAAAGCTCTGTCCCTGGTCACTGCTAGTGGCAGGCAGGCAAGGAGTGTTCCTCAGGGCTGCCCCCAGCACACGAACCCCGAGCTCAGACCCCAAACACAGCTAAAAGGCCTTGCACCGCCATTCCCCCTCCTCAGGTGCACCTCATGGGCCAGAAGCTCCTGGTAAGGAAAAGCTGCCACCACCGTGTGCACAGCAAAAGGCCAGCACCAGCTGAGGCTCTCCCACCACTCATAGATGGACAAGTTTCTGCAGGAAGCTCATTGGGCAACACTGTGTGAACACAGTGATGTCCAGCTGCCCATCAATGAGTGGCACCAAGAGCCAGCGCATCTCCACATGAAGCTGCCCCTCGGAAACACTTTGGATAAAGGCAATTTGCATTCAACTCAGTGTCTCCAGGGTTGACAAGCTGCTTCTTTAGATTCTCCAAGACCCAAGATGACTTGTCTGCTGATGCTGAGCAACTGTATGCAGGTGTATAAACATCTTTTAACGACATTGGTCATGTCTAATTGGAAATCTCGACTCTCTCAAAGTTTCTCCTTGCCTTCAGATCCTTTTTTGAAAAAGCAAAGGAATAAAACCCTGAACTTAAGGAAGCTGAAAAATCTATGCAAAATGCCTGAGCCCAAAGCAGGCACAGTGAAGGTTTCACCTCAACTAATTCTTTTTCATCTGACATTGACAGAGACTTCTTCCCCCCAAAAACAAGGCAGTATCACACATAATAAATCCAAAGCTGGAAAACCAAAGAAGTCAATTTGCAAACAACAGAACAATCTCCACATTTCTTGAACACCTCCAGGACGGTGACTGCACCACCTCCCTGGGCAGCTGTGCCACTGCCTCACCACTCCTTCTGAGAAGACATTTTTCCTAATATCCAACCTGAGAGAGATCAAGAAGGAGACCTCTGCTAACCCGTGGAGCTTCTGCCCCCACTGATAGGAGATGGGGCCTACTGATGGGGAGCAGTCCCAGCAAGATGGGATGCTGGGCCCCACGCTTACACCACCAAGCCATTTGATAGCTTTTCCAGTAGGATGAATGACATGAGATGGGTTTTGCAATTCAGAAAACTCTGGCGCTTCTGAGAAAGATTCATGCTGCTCCCTTCTGCCATTCTTGCCCAACAAGATCCCTTCTCGTTTGACCTGAGAAACCTGCAGCATCGCCAACCCTAAGGTGACCAAAAAAATCCCAAGCTACACTTACTGCAGCACCCCCAAACACAGCTGTTCAAAAATTGCCTCTTCCTCTCTCCTCTCAGCTTTCCATGCACTATTTCCAGCCACCCCTACAAAGTGGGCCACGCATTCATCCTTATCCACATTCCAGATATGGAAGTGTTGTTGGGTGCCCATCCATGCTGCCGATGCCATCACCTCCTCCTTCCCTCCCCACTGAGGGCTCCCCTCTTTGCATCTCTGCCTCTTCCCAGCCATTTCCATTCAAATCCTGTCCCAACGCTTCATTCGGAGCCATGGCCCCAAGCTGCAGCAGTGGTGGCCTCCAGGCACTCGCACTGTTGGCAGCCACAGGGAGGCACAGCCTTCACTGCTCTCCATAACTGCACCCAAAAAAGCCATCTAGCTCGCTATTTACAGGAGCAATTCAACCAGTGGCTGAGGTGTGTGGGATTTAATTAAAATAGAGGTTCTCTCCTCGCTGCTGAGCTATGGAAGTGCAGAGGGAGAGGCCACAGCAGGACGTTTCCATGAGGTTGTGCTGCAGATTGAGGCTGTCCCCCAGGAGTTCACCATTTCAGGTGCTGGCAGAGAAGAGCTCTTGCAATCAGACACTGGCCCTGTGCAGCCCCATACCCGTGTGCTCCCGCAGGTCGGGTGGGAGTGGCAGCACTGCAAAGCCAGGCAGCGGGGATGCTGCCAACCTGAAAAAGCTCACCATCGTTTTTATTATTTTTGCTTTTTAACATCAGATGGGAGCTTGGAAATTGGATGACAGGTTCTGACCCTGAAACAGGAGGCAGAGCAGTCTCTGGTGACTCCTGGGCAGGGTCTCGGGTGGGTCAGAGCCACGCCAGCTCCCACCGGGCTCGCTCTGGCACGGTGCAGGCGAGGCGATGCCGGCACATCAAGGGCGCCAAGAAACGCCAGCTGCAACTCAACACGGGCTGCGGGCGGGTGACGGCTGCCAGTTTCCAGGGATCTGGTTTCCCCGCTCTCCTCTGAGCCCCGCTCAGGCTGCAGGGTGGCCGTAGGGCAGTGGAAAATGCACGGCCCGGGCTGTTTGCAATGCTGACGTCCAGCTGAGGCCGAGTGGGATGTCATGAGTCACTCCCGGCACGCTGCCCCCGAGCAAATGAGGGAGGAGCGGGGGTGCAGTGCTGCAGGGCCAAACAGGACCCTCTGCCCTGCTGAGGGGTTGGGCGCAGCCTCTCCTCCCTTTTCTCCTTCCACTCCGATGAAACCCCGTGGGTTCCGGGGAGCGAGCTCACCAGAGCCACAACTTCCCATCCCCGCATCCCACAGCCGACCCGCTCCTGCTCAGCATCCCCCTGCACGGCACAGCTTGTAGGGTGCGGGGACTTTCAAAAGAGGGAAAAAAAACCCACACCGTCTCACGCCCACCACCGTTGCGAGGCCGGAGGTGATCTCCAGGCACCGTACCGCACCCCGAGCGCGGAGCGCTCTGAGCACTGAGCCCACCTCCCCGAAGCGGGGCCCCAAAGCCGCTGCCCCCTGCTGCCCCGCTGCAGCCCCCGACTCACCTGCACCGGCCCGAGGCTCTGCGGAGCGCCGTCGAGCTGCGAACCTCGGGGCTGGCGGCGGCTGCGCTCGGCTCTGCGCGGCACGGCGCGGCACGGCTCAGCACGGTGGAGGCGGGCGGCGGGGAGGGGCCAGGGCGGCCCCGCTCCTCCCGCCCGGCTCGGCGCCTCTCCGCCGGGGTCCCGGCTTAAACCCGGGGACTGGGAGCTCCGACAGACCCTGCGGCCCCCTGCATCCCCGCTCCTTCTCTTTCCCTCTCGTCTCCCGCAGCCCCGACACCCGCGTTAACTTCCCAGCTTCTCCCCGCTCTGTTTGACCGGGTTTGCTTGCCCGGCTCCTTCAGCCGAAAACTCTTCTCCCCACCAGCGCCCAGATTCCCGTCCCGCTCCCATAGCACCTCTGGAAAGCGCTGTGCTTGGCCGGACAGGTGTTCTCTTCCCCTACACCCCGTTACCTCGGCAGCTGCTCCGCCAGGCCCCGGTGTGCACAGCGATAGCTCCCACTGCCTCTGGTCCCCAAAGCCTCGGCCCTACAGGAGCGGGGAGGTGGGCAACGGCTCTTTCAACTATGGATTTGGTCACCTGCTGAACTCCCCGTAAACTACTCAATTTTCAGTCAAAGTTTCCTTCGGGATAAACTGCATTTTGTATTTTCTTTGGTTTGGGGAAAATCAGGTTCTTCAGAAATCCAAATTCCTATCTGACCGCCTATGAGTGTCCTGAGATGTCCATCCTGGCCCCACTCACTGAGGTCATCGGTCACACGCATGCGTGGAGCGCTCCCATTTGGTTTTGCTCATGAGCACCAACACACACACAGTCTGCACCAAGGTACCTAAACCCTAAATCAGGTACATCTGTGATTGACATTAAGCACTGTGCCTATCGTTTGCCATCTTCTTAGCATGTGGCAGCCAATGACTGCAACATCTCCACCAAAGCAATGGGGAATTGAGTTAAACTGAAAATGATTTGGGTTAGATGTTAGGTAGAAATTCTTCACTCAGAGAGCAGTGAGGCACTGGCAAAGGCTGCCCAGAGAGCTGTGGGTGCCCCATCTTTGGAGGCGTTCAAGGGTAGGTAGGATGGGGCCCTGGGCAGCCTGAGCTGATGGGTGGCAGCCCTGCTAATAGCAAAGTGTTGGGACTGCGGGAGTTTTGAGGTCCCTTCCAACCCATTCTTTTCGTATACTCGGCCCACTTAGCCCACAGTCCCCTGACTTCGAATTGCTGAGGCTTTGGCCCATTTGGGTGGTCATTTGGATATTCTTCTTTTTCTCTGAGGCTCTTGACACCTTTACTACTCTCTTGTTGCTCAGAGCCCTGTCCGGCCTGACTTTAAATGTCTCCATGGACAAGGCAACCTCCACCTCCCTTAGCAACCTGTTCCAGTGCTCCACCTCCCTTGGCAACCTGTTCCAATGCTTCACACTTATCCTAAAAAAATCCTTTTTCCTAATATCCAGTCTAAATCTCTTTCATTTTGAAACCATTTCCTCTTGTCCTGTCATCACAGACCCTGCTGAAGAGTCTGTCCCCTTTATCCTTCTTATAGCCCTCTTTCAGATACTGAAAGGCCACTCTCAGGTCTCTCCAGAGCCTTCTCCTCTCCAGACTGAAGAGACCCAGTTCTCTCAGCCTGTCCTCATAGAGGTGTTCCATCCCTTGGATCATTTTTGTGGCCCTCCTGTGGATGCACTCCAACATGTCCATGTCTCCCCTGTACTGAGGACTCCACAGCTGGATGCAGTATTCCAGCTGAGGTCTCACCAGCACAGAGTAAAGGGGCAGGATCACCTCCCTGGCCTGCTGGCCAAGTTTCCTTTGATGCAGCCCAGGATCTGGTTGGCTTTCTGGGCTGTGAGCGCACATTGCTCATGTCCAGCTGCCATCCATCAGTATCCCCCGGACCTTTATGGCAGGGCTGTGTTCCATCCTTACATCCCGCAGCTTGTACTGATAGTGGAGACCTACAACCCACGTAAGCAGAAGCACAGTCTGAAGCAAGAATTTCAGCTCCAGTGTGGTTTCCACTGTGCTCAGAATCCAAGTTTACTCCCACCAGTGGAAACTGGTTTGCGAGCAACACCCTGCTCACCTATCCTGTCTCCTATGCAAACAAGGCTGATCCCAGATTCACCTGACAGGAGGTCAGACAGGTATAGAGGGCTCAGGCCTGAGACATCATTCAGCCCCCATTTGGCCATTTTCCCACAGTCAATGAGCTGCCAGTGGACAGGTGGCTCAACTCTTCCTGACCCATTCTGCTACATCTGCTAAGCAGAACCAAGAAGGTGTTAAAAACAGTGTGGTTCTGCAGACTTCATGCACCCTGCCAGCAGCATGGCTGGATGGGGACCACATCAGGACAAAGGGTGATAGGGCAGAGTTTGTAAGAAAGCAGGAGGTTGGTTCTGCAGCAATGTGGTCAGAGCACAGGGGCTGTGATCAGCCTTGGGGAGGAGGCACCAGACACCTGGCAACAACGATGCAGATTCTGTCCTGGGAATCTGAGACGAACAGTTGCCTCATCTTTGACAAGAGCCTCTCCAACTCGTTGGGATCATTTCATTTTTTAAGAGTGATATCCTGAGGGAATGAAGCTTATTCAGAGCGTATTCAAGTGTCCATTGTCCCCGCTTTAGCAATACTTAAACCTTCCGGCAAACTGCAAAACAAATATAACAATGGGAGGAGACTCTCAAAGCTGTGAAGTTTTGACAAGTTTCTGTGACAGGGCAGAGAAAGAAACCCAGCAAATCTTGGAACAGGCTACTCAGAGAAGCCACGGGTGCCTCACCCCTGGAGGCATTCAGGGCCAGACTGGAGGGGCCCTGGGCAGCCTGAGCTGGTGGCTGGCAACTCTTTTGGTGATAGAATGACTGAATTCCTCCAAAGCTTGATAGTGCTTCAAGGAAGGACCGTGCTAGTGTGCCATAGCAAAGCTCCATACAGACCTCCAGGGACAGTGCTCCTGAGGAATCCAGCTGGGCTTTGCACAGGCCCCAGTACATGCCCACACAGGATACCAGGAGTTCAGCTAATTTATGCAGGCGACTGCTCATGTCCAGTGTGTCCAGTAATCCAGCCTGCTCTTTCCTGTAATAGTGAGTCCTCGTGTATTATTGTTATTAAAGGTTTAGCATGACCTGGAAGCCAGGGAAAGCAGCCAGATTCTTTGATGCTAATGTGAACCACCAAAGCTTTCAGGGTTCACCTGCTGCAGCCAGCAACACCCAAACCCAGCAGCACTCAGTGGTCTCAGGAGGTATCTCAGCCTCGCAGGATTTGATAAGGAAACAACAAAGTCTCCTGCAGTGCTGCGTTTCAGCTGTGCCCGCCTACTAAATAACAGGTGGTAAATGACGGTTTCCTTCAATTGTAGCGGTCTGTGACTACCTATGAAGTCACACAGTGACCTCAGCTCAGTCTTTCACTGCTACTTTGTACTACTTTGGCGCTGTGAAGATGTTTTTCTTTCTAACAATAGAGAATAAAAATAAAAACAAAACCCTTTCTATTAATGCAGACCTAACTTGCGTCCAAGGCACAGCAGAAGCACCCCTTTTTTCTGGCTCTAGCTATGAATCTGAAGCACTTTGCTGATTACAGTCCTTCTCAGGTTGTCCTTTGTTGTAGCAGGGACCTGGGGCTCACCTTGCTGCTGCTGAGCGCTGTGCTGGCAGGAAGGATCCCTGGCAGAGCACTGAAAGGGAAAAGGGGTACAATGGGTCTCAGAAAAATTCCTTATGTGCAACTGAACGATGAGAGAAGAAAGGGGGTGCTGAGGGTAAAGTGGGTTATGAGAAACAGGGTCAGGAAATGACTACTGTCCACACTTTGAGTGGATTCAAAGGTCAAAAATATTTTAAGAAATGACTTTAGGGAAGGGACCAGGCAGGTGGAAAGGTAAAAAGTGTATAAGTATCTCTGAAGGATCTGATACTTGGAGCCACGTGCCTGGTAGCCAATATCTTAAAGAAATCCGTCAAGTCAGAAGATGAGTGTGTCTGAAGAACAGCAAATGCAGAGATGATGAGCTGCACCGAGAGGGAAATACATACCTTTATGGCATCAGCACAAGATGCAGGATGGAGAACTCACCTAATGGGGAAGATAAGCATGTCATGGAGAAAGAACAGGTTGAGCTTCAGGGCGTGAGTGCTGAAGCACCACCAGCTGTAAGGGGCATGCTTCGAGATGTAAGCCAGGAGCACGTAGCTGAATGTAGGAGAGAAAGTGGGGCAGGAATAGGAGAAGGAGCGATGAGTGTGACATAAAAAGGTAAATCAATCCAGGCAACCAAGGAGCCAATTACCTCTAAGTCTTCATAAAAGGCAGTAGAAATACATTTTGAAAGTAAAACTACTGTTTCAAATGCAGATCCTCAGCAGCTTTCTGCAGACACACAACACCCAATTTAGCAACTCCTTCAATACTGTGACAGCGATGGGCACTGATCTAAATATGTCAGTAGCATACACCTATAAGTCATCTGATAGATTTCCCATGTCCTTTAAGGCTGAGTCAAGCCCAGGATCACTAGTGCAGAATTTAAAGCACTCAGATAAATACGTTGGCCACTTTATTGCCTCTAAGAAACTTGAAGCAGTGACTGCAGGTTGCTTTACCCAAACTTTAGAAACTGAGATGGGAAAATATTTTACAACCACAGCAGCTTTTGGTGTGAGAGGTTGCTGTCATTTAAAAGCATTATAATCACCTACTTCATAGAGCTACACACAGCAGCCCGATGTTGTTAACTCTGCAGTCTCTCTGAAGCTTTGAAACCCATTCATCCTGGACTCTTTTAAAACTAAAAGAAACACACCCTTTTTTTTTTTTTTTTTTTTTCCCTTAAGAAAAGGAGCCTTTGAAAAAGTTTATGAATAGATGTTTACCAATGAAATCTGCATAGAGGAGACAATTATTACTAGATAAAAGATCATGAAGATATTTGACAGCTTTTTTCAACCTAAAGAATTAAAAAAGAAAAAAAAAGTGAATGACGTAAGCAACATGACTTTCAGGTTTGAAAACACCGTTTCTGTAAAAGGAAAAGGGAGAAGAGAATGTTAATGCTGAAATGGTTGGGCTGCCATGTAAATCCAACACTCAGGTGGAAACCTCTTAGGCTTGTGATGTTCAGGCACATCGGTGCAAGGAGAATGGGTGAGCAATGGTGGGTTTTTGTCACTCTAACCAATAGTGCCAGTGTCAACACTTTCTCACAAAACTCAACTCAGCTCCTGCAGTGGTTGGTCAAACCCAAGGGTTCCCCCAGACTTCTGGAAGCAGGCTTGGGAAAATAAACAGTCCTGGCACCTGGAGCAGTAGCTGAAGATGACCAGAACAGTCTTATTTTCAAGTGCCATTTGAGCCTTTTTGATGCCGGGCTATTATTCTGGATTTCAGGAATTAATGTGCTGCCTGAACAAAGCCGCCACAGACCCACGTCCACTCCTGTGGTTGCCCTGACCAGGACTACTGCTATTACAGTCGTCTGAAAAGAAGTCTGGAAACATGAAAAGGTTTTCCTTGGGTGACGAATCAACCATTAGTTGGATTTGCTGGTTCATGATACCTATGAATCTCCCCACCATCCCAGATGTTACTGGGGGACTCATCTGACAGTGCATTAATACGATCAGTGGGAAATAACCATTTGTGAGGCATGTTTCCCTATTTCTGACATGCTGTATCCCCACCCATTGGGAAAGAGCTGCCTGCTACCTTTACGCACCATAAATTTGCTCTCTATAACTTCCTGAAGGGAGGTTGTAGTGAGCTGGGGGTCGGCCTCTTCTCTCGTGTCATTAGTGATAGGAACAGAGGGAATGGTTTCAAGCGACGGCAGCGGAGATTCAAGCTGGACATTAGGAAGTATTACTTTTCAGAAAGGGTGGTCAGGCACTGGAGTGGACTGCCCAGGGAGGTGGTGGAGTCACCAACCCTGGGGGGGTTCAAGGAAAGACTGGATGTGGTGTTGAGGGACATGGTTTAGTGGGAGCTATTGGTAATAGGTGAGCGGTTGGACTGGATGATCTTTTAGGTCTTTTCCAACCTTGGTGATTCTATGATTCTAAAGTATGTTATGCCTCTATCCATAGGCAACACCACTGCTTATTTCAGTAACATCTGGACCAGAATGTGTATGTCTCATTTTGTCCCAGCAAAGCATCATTGGGCTTCACCTTTGCCCCCAGCAGCTTCAAGAAATAAGCTTCTGGATGCAAACACTCAACTGTGTAATGGTAAAGCCAAGTTCATTTTTCCATGCTGAAGGGAGGCAAGCCCTGCTAATCCTCTGCTGTGCAAATGGCATTGCGTGGGGCCATTTACATGCAATGAGGACAAGGTGAAAAAGGAGGAGGCTGGCCTCCTCGTGTGGTGAGCATGGTCTCCCTCTGCCCTCTTTCCTGGAGGAAGGCACCCACCACAGCCAGCTGCTTGGCACTGAGAGGCCAGGAGCTGGGATATACCTCACCAGGCCTCTGCCAACCACTATAACACAGGCTAAGTTTACAGCAATAAATCAGAGCACAAACATACTTCTGTACTTCACACAGGGTGAAATGCCCACGGCACTCTACCTAGGCCCTCCTGGATGCACTCCACAGCAGCTCTTGCCCTTGTGGCTGACTGCCCAAGAGCTCCCAGAGCTCGGAGATGTAAACACCCCCTGCTGTAACAAGCCCAGAGCACGCAGGTTGGCAGCAGCTGACTGAGGAAGGCTTTTGGCTCTTAAGGCCATACATCTCCCCTCCGTATGCCCAGCCATCCAGGACTGTGGGCAGGATGCCCAGAGAGGACCAGGCCGTGGCACTGGGCAAAGCCAGCATTGGGGCTGCTCCTTCCCTATGAACCATCACAAAGGTTTATTTTCGGGCAGGGTTTTGAAAGAGTAAAGTGGGCAGATGGGGTTGCAAGCTGAGAAAACCAAAAATAGTTTCAAACTTTCCCGAATTGTTTAAAACATGTTTCAACCAGCCCAGTCACGTGGGGCTTCTGCAAGGCCTTTCATGATTGCATCTCTCCACAGAAGTCTGCTGCTGCTTTAAAGAGAGACACAAACAAACAGACACAGTTTAACCCCAGATATGTGGAGCAAATAACTGGGGAACATAACTTTGCAAAACACGGTGCTGTGTTTGTTTGAAGATGAAAACACTGCGCACAGTTTTTCAACCAGCCCTTCACTGCTGCTCCTGACGGCTGCAATAAAGGGTGCTTGATTACATTCATCCACTGGCTGTTTTAAAATCCTCCGGTCTGTTCTTTCCAGCAGCATCGTACAGAACGGAACACAAAGCACTGAGTTCAGCTGGTGCTTTCAGGTACCTACCTCCAGGCAGGATCTAGGAGCAGAGGGCTAAGCCCAAGGAGCGCTGCGGGCCCTTTGCTAAGGAGCAGGGAAATGTGGAGAAACTGTGCTGCCCTAGGTGGCAAAAATGGCTTCCGACAGAGGCACGGAAGCTCCAGTGACCTGTTTGCTTGACACGAAGGATGTTCCCAAAGCCAGATGTCTCCCATCTCTAAAAAAGACCTGCTGTCCTTAAGGCAGAGAGCCACGAAAGGAAAACAGAAGGCCCTTTATGTCTGCTGTCCAACTCCGTTCCACACTGTTCCCGTGGTCTGGTTGGCAAAGACTGGTCAGTGCTTTCCTTCTTACACAGCTCTTCTTCCTGAAGAGCAGCAGGACAGCCCTCCTCGGCATAAATGCCATTTTATAAACAAATGAAGTCCATGGACAGCAACCACATAACATCATCCGGCACAAAGCACAGCATTTTCTCGACATTATTACACACGTTTGTTACAAAGTCATTTTTACTATGGACACCAAGACACCCACAAATAATGGAAAATCATTATTAATAAGGTGGAATTTTCCTACCCATTTGCAAAGCCCTGCAGATGAAATTTGCTCTGAGCACCCTGATCTGGCTGTGGATGTCCCTGTTCATTGCAGGAGAGTTGGACTAGATGACTCTTAAGGGTCTTTTCCAACTAAAACAATACTATGAATTTACTCTTTTAGAGACACCCCAGAATAAATAAAACATAATCCTGCACCTGCCCTACAGCTCCTTCTCCCAGCAGTAGCTGTTTGTGCCCCTGACTGTGCAAAGGGTGATGCTCCAACCTGTCAGGCTCCAGCTTGTGAGCCACCACATCCCCACACAGATTAAGTGTTTGTTTCCCTCCCAGCTTAGCAGCTCCCCAGTGGCTGTGTCAGAGCACAAGCAGGGGCCTTGTAACACACCTGTTCTTCACTCCTTTACGTAAGCAGCTGGCAAGCAGCAAGGCTTGGTGAAATCATTTGCTGCCAAATGCAGCAGCAGTACTCTTTTGAGATGTGCAAATGGCAGTCTGTCTTGCAGGGCACTGAGGCTCTTTGGTCCAAGCATAATATTTGGGATAAGCATACCTGTTTGTTTGTTACTGCTGACTTCAGACCCTGTTGCTTCCACAGAGCCAAAGGAGGAGTTACAGACAGGGCATCTGGACGGCACTCTGACCACACGTTAAACCTTTGGCAGTCTGACAGCATGCCTTGAGCTGCCATCAATGCAGCACCAGGCCAGGACAAAGACGAGGGTGAAGAGATCTGCACACAGTGTTCCCTGCGACCAGTCACTGAACTGAAACTGGAGTTGCCCTCACTCCCACCACAAAATACTGGTCAGAAGTGGGACTTGGTCTGTACCGTGGATTACTTTTCCCTCTATCCTGAAAGGACATCAACTGCTGTTAGAACTTCATGCCAAAAATTCCCACCGCACTCACTGGTGGGAGATGCTGCAGCAGCAGCAAGCTCTTCTACACAAACACATGCACTCACATCTCGTCTGAGAAATCAGAGAGCTATCAGGAAGGGATACAGACACAGCACATCTCCAGACTGTGACTGAAGGTTGCAGATGACGCTGGTCCTTCTCACTGCAAGCTGTGGGGAGCACTAGGACTGCCTTTCCTTCAATAAATTCTTTAAGCAGCTGGTGAGTGCAATGGAAAAGGTGCATGCATCTAGCTCTAGTTATCTGGGACACAAGGAAATATATACATCTCCACTTCATGATGCTCACTTCCACAGCATCAACAGAATGTTCCCTTTTAGATCTGAGCAGTTCTACGTGAGACTAAAATGCCAATCTGACATTCTGAGCATCTGCTTCAAGCATCTACGTACCTCATGCTTCATTTACACTTCTTACTTCGTTAGTGCTAAAAGGTAAGGAAGTTTGAGATTCATTCCCTGAGAGCAGAAGAGAGGCTGTCAGAAAGATGTTGAACATCTGGAGAGATTTCTGCACTAAGAGATCATAGCACCAAAGTCCAGGCAGACAGCAGACTCTTTGTCACCAGAGGTTTCTAGGACAGCTTAGAAAAATCCACCATGACCTGAACCAGCGTTTGCAATTTCCTCCTTAAATAGAGAGAGTGGACTGGAGACCACCAGAGGCTCCCTTGGAGTATTATTTTTATAAAGGTGCAGAGGAGGGTGGCTTGTGTCTTCGCATTAGCCACAAAAACAGGCAAGAACATTCCCAGGTTGGTTACTACAGGAAAGGTCACTGGATTCCTCAGTGTTTTATTTGGAATGGAGCTGCTGCACCATTTGAGAGGTTTTCATTACACTTGAAGGTGAACCACTTCTGAGGTAGTTCCTGATTAAGTTAATATCAAGTAATTCTTGTTTTACACCATCCAGTTTTCCAATATACCACATTCCTGCACTGACATCTGGTAATTGCACAGCAGGATCTGAGACGTTTTGGCAACAGAACACAAAAAACTATTAAGGATGTAGAAGGAAACATGGGATTACACAAGAAATGGAACACAGTTAACACAATCAGAAAATTACATTAAAAAAATGATTTCTAGGTCTCTGAGTTAGCGCATTAGGAAGAGGGAAACAATTCAAGGACTTCACTACTGTTGTTCCAGATTGCTAGAAAACTCTATCATGCAATGCCCTCTCTTGTGCTTAGATTGATCCTGTCATTTAATTACTCCTATCTTTAAATAATGGAGTAGATTTTGGGAACACAAGCAAAATAAGGTCCTGCTTATGACATTCTCTGATGCGTTACAAATGGGCTCCAATAGCCAAGAGTTTCAGCAGTCTTTCTGGAAGTTTCACCTACTGTTGGTTTCACACAGCACAGAACAGAACTAATCCATTCCCAGACTGTGTACAGCCCCATTTGTAATGTTCACTGCTCTGCAAGCATTCTGCTACAGCAATACCGAGAGTCGAGATGTCGGCAAATAATGGACACACACAGCTATAGAAATAACATTTTTGGTTTAGTGTTTACAGTTTGTCTTACAGCTCATAATGAAATAATGTTAGAGATATTCTACATTCAGACATTTTTAGCAAAATATATTTTAAAAAACATAAGGCACTTTAAGGCTTCCTGAAACAAACGCTCACGAGAAAAATTCAACAAGAGGGCTAGATGAGAACCCTTTCTCGCCTTAATGTTCAGGTCAGTAAAAGACCAATTCTCTAGTCAGTCAGGCAAATGAAATAATCAATGAAAGCTTCCAAGATAGAGTTACTGCTGCATTAGTGTGCATTCTGAAGTAGTCCACTTGAAGTATCTTCAGTTGGGGGTGGCGATGGCAGAAATTCATCTGCCCGGTGTGAATAAAATGCATTAAAAATAGTTCTTTGAACTGGTTAACAAAGACACAGTGCAGGGATTAAGTTTCATTACTTTCATTGGATTAAATTCCTTCCATTCATTATTGCCAACAAGGGTAAGAAACAAAAAGGAGCTGGTTTTCCTCTCCCTCCCCCCTACTCCCATTATAATTCAACACAAGATTTCAAAGACTCAAAATGACCAGGACAGAAGCCCATGAAAAACTGCATCTGGCCACTTCAGAGTATGTTTAAATATTCATTACTGACTTCCTCAAGTCTCACCTCTTATTAAAGAATAACAAACATAAAAGAACTGGCAACTGTAGAAATTGTTCCCAGTCAAGTTGATATTTTGCTTCTTTTCCCCGTGATCTCACTGTTCCTATTAAGTACCTGCATTCAGAAGCATCAGCTCCCCTTGGCAAGGAGACGGTGAGACAGAGGAACAATGCCGGCAGGGCCCTAGACCCTGCAGGGAAGATGGAATGAGCAACTTTCCTTCACACACTTGTGTCTCAGTGTAAGAACATTTTCAAAAGCCAGACATGCTGGGCTGCTGTAGCAACAAGAGGAATGATACCAAAACACTGACTGAAGACTGCAGCCAGAGGCGCATCGGAAGCAACTGAAATGCACTATTTAAAACTGGCAAAAAAAAAAGAGCTACAAGCCAGAGCACTGGCAAAACCAGGGCCTGCTTCCCAGGGCCTTCAAGGAAGGGATGGTAGGAACCTACCATCCATCTGCAAATATTCAAGTTTCATCTTACCTATTTTATTGTCCAGTATCTTCTCCAGTCTCTGGGGGCTAGAATTGCTGAAAATCTTGATTTCTGGGAGGCTCAGTATGTTAGGCATGGCAAGTACCAACCTGTATCCCTAGTGCTCTCACATCCACCTCCATGGGGAAAAGAAAACAACCAACGAGTCGTATCTCTTACAAGTCCCTGATTGTTTTAAATTCTGACTTCTTGAATTGCACTTTAAATCCCAGCAGCACAAAGAAAAATCATTAGCTATATTCACAAATATATATATATTTCTAAGAGACATTTTATCAAGTCTAAAATATATAGATATCCATTGCATAAGCTGTCAACTTTTGACTCAGCTACAGCAAAGCAGCTACAAAAACAGATTAGTCTATTAGCATTATTAGAATGGGGGTAGAGATGGGCTGCTTGTTTGGTTAGGCAAGAAAACACACCTGAGGAAGGAGCAAAATGAGAACCAGCCACCACTCATCTTGGCCTGTCACACAGATGGGTGTTACTGTGCAAACAGGAACTGTGGCAGCAAAGCAGCTGTGAAATCTAACTTCATCATATGAAAAATACATCACTTCAAGAGAGCTACTACTCAAGAGAAGAAAGGCAGGCAGTACTCCACAGCCCTGAGCTCAAAAGATCTTGAAATCTCAGCTTACGTGGTTCACTTTAACTGGTAAAAAAAAGCCACACTCCTGATCACGTAGTTACTCCCTACTGTTACAATCAGCCATAAACTTAAAATTGTGGCTCTGCAATTGGTTTACTGTCCTTTAGCATTTGTATGACAAGATTCAATCAGGACATGAAGATGCATCTGAAAGAAGAGATGAAGAAAACATTGGCCACTCACCAATCCCTATTTCATCAACAGCATGCAGTTGTTTCCTTTTCAAAACTGAGGGTTTTTCTTTCTAAGCGAACCTCACAGAATTTCCTAAAGTGATATCCAGTTGCTTTGTACATGCACATGTCTTAAAAACACACTTGTGAAAATGATTGGGAAAGGCACAGAGCATGTGTCATTCAATTCTCTATATACTTGCTGGTTGCAGGATTTAGAGTAAGTTGCAATAGTTAATGAGCAGATAATTTCTTTCAAATTCAAGTTCTCTGCAAAGGAAACCAGGGAAGCAATCAGTACCATCGAGGAAGTGCAAGGCAAGAAGTTAAACCTGCACACTGAGACAGACTGGAATGCATAAAGTTTCACAGACCTTGCTTGTCAGGTAACATTAAAAGGAAAATTCTAGCTTAAAAAAAAAAAAAAAAATCACTAAAGCTAGTTACAAAGAGTAGAATTATCAAAGTGCTTTAATAAAGTGTCAAGCATAATTAAACAGGACCATTAGCACAGAGCTGCCATAAGATATCCTAACAGGCACATGTGTTTTCCAAATGCAAGAGAGAAGTACAGGTTTTTAATTACCCCCTTAGGACCAAAGTGGGTTAAGTAAAGTTATGCTTGTTCATTTTGCTTCTTAACATGAAATGTTTGCTCTGCTCATGCATTCAAAGGCACAGCTGGATTTACCGTACTGAGACTGCAACAGAAGGACCGTCTGCTGGAAATACTGAGAGGAGCAGCTCTCACTAAGCAAAACATCAACAGGTGATATACTTCAAAATCCTGAAAGTTTTTCTGTGGATTTCCTTTCAACATAGCTTAAGATAAGTGAATGTGTTACTTGAATAATCCGACAGACTGCCAGCTCTATCACAGCAAGAGCAAATGCAAATAAGGAAGGGGCTTCAAAACCACCCCCAGCAAGATGCTCAGAAGACAAGGTGTGCTATGTTTTTTTTACTGGCTTTTCCTCTGTGTTAAGAATAAGAAAAAAAAAATCCAAAAACTGTTCTCTGCAGCACGTCTCTCAGCACCTCCAATTCACTAAGGTGCTCTCTGCTTTAAATAGATGAGCTTAAAGATAGATGGTAGCCCTGCAGCAAGCATAGGAGAGCTAGCTGCTGCAGCACAGGAACATCGTTGCTTAAGGAAAGGAAACATCAATTAAGACTTTTCCTGCAATTCAGATATAAAAGTAGATTAGCTTCAGCAAGCTGAGACCCAAACATATGCTAGAGAGCATCACATCTGCTCCCATGCACAGGCACACACGGCCACAGGTTTGAGAAATATCAAGTCTCAACAGAACAACCGATCCATGTTCTGAAGGCATCAGAAAAAAGCAGTGCTCCAAGTGTAATAGGAAGAGGCAGAAGGAGGAAAAAAAAATGAATACTGTTAGGAGGAAGCACTAAGGGCAGCCTGGTGTAATGAAGGAGAAAAAAAGGTGGCTCAGTTGTATGGCTGTAATGTCTGCAGCAGCACAGAGACCCTGTGCCTGCAGGCAAAGGAGCAGTAACCAGAGTTTGGAAAATCTACTCCTGAACAACAAAAAAACCCAGCTCTCATATCTGGTGGATGGGTTCAAGATCTATAAATGAAATCAAAGGAGACAAAAAGGAATCAAAATGCTATACAAAACATTGGGATCCACACATACCCATGTGGCATCATTAGCCTGTTCCCAGTTTACGACAGTGTTCAAGGATCTGGCCAGTCCCCTTTGCTCTGCAGGATGACTGAAGTCCTGTGAAGTGTCACATATTAAACGCTTCTTGACCTGCCAGTCAGGACAAAGCCCCTCCCCAGCCCACACGAGGGGGTCACCCAGACAGCAGACATCTCTAACAACCCCAGGTACCCTACAGGCAGTATCCACTCAGTTAGTTCTCCTAAGTAGCGCTGCAGCAAGCAAGCCGAGGCTTGCTAAGGTGCTCTGCCCTCTACAAGGACTTGAGGAAAGTTTCTTGTGAGCCCCTCTGGCCAAGGGCTCGTGTTTTGCTGTTCCATTATTACTTTTCAAACACTTTTCCTGCCGATCTTCTTGTTTTGTTCCCTGTTATCCCAGAAGCACTTTCTGCATCCTGCGTGCAGCAACGCTGGCTTCGTCTTCAGAGTCAGACTCACTCTGGGAAGTGGAGCTCTGGGAGGCAGAGCTGCAGGGCGAGGAGCATTCCGGGGAGCACAGGTAGTGCATCAGCGGGATGCGGTACTTCCCACAGAAGTCAACAAACTTGATTTGTCTGACACAGCTGTCAAAGTAGACACCTGTAAAGGCAGAGGGCACAGTAACAACATGTGAGACTGCATGAGGAGTAATTCATGTGCTCCATGAGGTTGTTGCATTTAGTGCAAACGCCTTAAGTTAGGATTCAACACAGCACTCGATGTGGAAGTGGAAGGGATAACAGAGAAAGAAGAGACCAGAGAACCTATGGAAACATAAAACTTCTCTCCTTGGTGCAAATCTCAGGCTGGGAATTTGCAAGCTTCTCCTTAAATGCTGAATTAATTTACCCACTCTGTTTACAAATCTGTGAAACCACTTCTAACAGCTAGCAAAAATGTGTCCACAAATAGACCCTCTCTCTTTCATGGCTCCACTTCTATTCTGCCTGAGTGAAGTCACCATGCTGAGTTTGGATGCTGTTTGCCATGGCAACAGCATTGCTGTAATGCACAATTACCTTCTCTTCCTGTCACAGAGAGTGATTTTAGACACTGACATTTTCAGAAGTTTCCAGCAGTCTTTCAAGTCCTGGCTGGTATGGAGCAATCTTTTCTCCTGCAGTGTCAGAGCAACACTGCAGTGCTGTGCTAATTCATAAGGAAAAGCAAGAAAAGAGGAAAACAATCCACTCTTATTCTAGGCCTGTTCAAAGCTCTAAAAAAGGAAACATTTCTTTCTCTTCCAACACACAAGTTGCAGCCCTTCACCTTTGCTTACTGAACTTGTTTTGATATTGTCCCATCTGGAGATAAGATAACAAACTGCACAATGACTGCAAGGTGTATATTAATGATTTTCCTTAATCTTCTCAAGGCCAAATGCACAGATCATTTACTCTGAATAAAGCTTAAGCATTAAGCCAAATTAAGCCCAAGGATTTCAGGCTTATCAACAAGTCCTCTTCGTACAGGTACTACTATCCAAGCAAGAGCTAAAAAGATGCTCTTGTTAACCACCAAGCACTACAGCTCCCTCTTTTTCCGTCTGGAAAGTAAGCTTGTTGTTCAGCAGCCCAATTTTAAAAGTTTGCCAAAGTTCTCCTGTCAATTACTTAGACTGAGCTATTTTAGAGCAGAAGGGTCAGAAAATTCAGAACATCAAAGCACAGTGGAATGCTGGGATGAGCTGTCGATGCTCCAACTGAAACACTGTCTGACATTTCCATGTAACTGTAGTAAACCAGTGCTAGAACTTTAAACGCTGTTCCTAAGGAGAGTGAGAATCAGGATCCCTCAAGAAATGTTTCAGGAGAGCTGGAGCCAATGACTTTGATGCAACAGTATATCTAGCCTGACTGAACTACGAGAGACGTGGCAAGTCAGGGGGAAAGAAAACCCACCAGGCAAAAGCAAGAAACAGAGCAGCGAAGGTAAACTTACCCCCGCATTTAGGGTTGGGACAGTTGCTGGCCAAGCTCAGATAGCGGACAAGATTCTCTGGGAGATCGCTGGGAGCGTAGGGAACATTGCGAGTTTTAATTGTGCGTCCTGCCAATTCCTGAAGGCTTGGGGGGTTGTAGGTCAGGTCACGGACGAAGCGAACCACCAGAGGGTTCCCTCGCAAACTCAGCTCCTCCAGGTGAACCAGGTTAAGAATCTCTCGAGGGAGGTAAGTCAGGAGGTTATTGTGCAGGCTGAGGGAACGCAGGGAATGCAGCCTAAGGATGGAGATGGAAACGCAGTCAGGATGCACAAGAGAAGTCATTCCACATCTGCATTACATACAGATCTGATTACTCTCCTCCCTCCTGACAATTTCTTCCCCTTGGATTTTCTTCTTTCTAAAGCATAAATTCACGCTAAAGGAGATGCTGCTACTCAACTCTCACAATGCTCTAGAAAGCTTGGCTCAGCTCTTGAATGCCTGTTGAAGAAAGTCTTCCATATGCTGGTGTGCCTCTCAGTCCCCCCCATCTGCTAAAAAAGTAGAAGTACAGAGTCTGGCTGCTTTCAGCAGGAGATAATGTTTCCTTGTACCAGTGCATGCACCAAAAATGGTCCCGTGCAATACTTTGAATAAGTCACCTGCTCTCCCTCGTGCATTAAAGATGAATGCTGGTAGGCAGCCAGCTCTGTGAAGCCCCACGTTTTCACTGCTTGCAGCTGCATCATCCTGTGCTGTGATACAGCAGAAGCTTAGCAAGGTCAGGTCAGACTAGCGTCTGCATGGGTGACAAGAGTCCCCTGGCTTTCAGAGGGCACGTTTCAGCACAATGTCCAGGGATGCTCTCAAGTTAGTACAAGTTACAAAACCCCTGGAGTCATTAAGCATTGTACATCAAGAATAATCCCACTAAGCCATCAAATTCCAACTGAGAAAACTCCATGCTGCCATCCATCTGCTTTTGGGGTTACAACTAGACACTGAATTTTTCACCTCTCATCTTAGGCTATCCATACAGCATTTGAAGTGTCCTCTTCTCCCCATTATGCAAGACTTAATAAAGCAGTATCTCATTCTCTAGAGCTGTGCTGTAGGATTTAATGAATGCTAAAACTTTCTCAGAATCCCAGAATAAGAAATGCCAAGGGAACACAAGGGATGGTACAGAATAAAGGCAAACAAAGGAAGGTTTTGGCTAAAACAAGACAAGCATTCATCACTAATCGCTAAGAACACAGCAGCAGGGCAGCTATTTATTCTCAGTTGCCCACGTACTCCTCAGGGTTCCCTGCACAAATCTATTGGTTCACTCAGCAGTGTACAATTCGTGACTTCTTTTCTGCAACACTTTGATTGAGATTTCCACATTGTATCTTTGCAGTCTGCCTGCAGCACTAAGGATCTCCACATTGACACTGAAGGACAAATAGGTCCTCCCACTTGCTTTTATCCACAGAAGCAGGAGGAGGAGTTCAAAGGGTTAATTGCAGCTGTTGGCTGATGACAGTAAATACTCACTGTGCCAGCTGAGGTGGAATGCTCTGAATCTTGTTGTCACATAGCACTAGAGAGCTTAGAGAAGGCAGGTTTGCTAACTCAGGTGGAATTGAAGTAATGAAATTCCCTCCAAGGTACAGAAACTCCAAACTGAAAAAGAGAAAGCACTGCATTATTTCATTAAGGTCATTTCCAGCCTCATTTAACAGCAGGTCTTCCCATCTCATGCATTTCTTAAAGAGAACTTACAGCTGACTAAGTGTGAAATAATTTGCTGAGGGGAAAAAAGAAACTGTTACACATCACAATTACAATAGAGCTGCTGTTTTGCAACAGATAAGGTTGGGCTTTACCTCCAGACTCCCGCAGCAACCCTTACATCTGCAGACAGGAACCAGACACCAGCTCTACACGCAAAGCTCCTGCTTGCCCTTCCAAGGAGGAACAACATGCACACAGTCCGCACCTCTGACACAGCTCCTGCTGCTGCCAGTGTGAGTTCTCAGTTTCAACAAGAGTAAAGCAAGAGTAGCAGTTCCCCCTGAAAAAACCCACTGGCACTGGACTTGCATGAGGCTAGTCACACACTGCGATGCCATCTGACTCCTCGGTGACTAACTGCAGCCTTTCAGAAGAAGTCAGAAGCATCCCATCCCATTCTGATACAACTTACGTACCCACAGCACTCCAGCTGCAAGAGCACAGGGTACACTGGAGTCATGCAAGCACACACACATGTCGAGCAGACTGATTTCAGTACACCCATGTCACGGAGCCCAAAGCTACCAAGGACACCAGCTGTACTAGCTGCAGCTTGAGTCTAAATAGTAAAAACACCTCCCTGCCAAAACTCAGCAGATGGGAGACAGGACTGAGCAGAATCCTCCAACCAAGTGGAGTATCTAGTATTCACCATGCAGCTCTGCCCTTACTGGACAGAAGAAGTTAGACTGCAAGTGGTCATTTACTTCTCTTCCATATAATCTCTGCAAAGCCCCATGGAACGGAGTCAGAGAGTCTTCCTCACCTGTTCTCAGCCGTGTGGAAGAGAAACAGAGGAAGACTCAGCTTCTCTGGCTGGGAAGGGACCCCAGTGCAAATTGTGGTACACGCTCAGCTATGACAAAGCAGCTACAAAATTAAGCCACTTCTAAGCCTTAAACTGAACCTGACCATCTGAAACAAATGAATTAATCTTGCTTCACCTGAGACATCAAGTGGGACAGCATTTGTGGAGGTTATGCTCAACATGCAAGGGAATACGCAGAGGAAAATCAGACACCATTCAAGAACAGCCCCTCTTCAACGTGGACAACCTGTAGGTGAGGAGGGGGGCAGGAGGGGTGCTGTTGTGCAGAGAGCACAAGGGGAGACCATTTTTAATTAAATTTTGATCCCCTAACAAAGGAATTTCAACCAAAATTCCTCCAGCCTCCATTGTTTCCCAAGGTGGACTTAGGCTGCTTGGGCCTCATTAGGCATTAAGTGCTGACAGTACAGTTCCTTTGCATATTTTAACTCTGTGCCATTGCTGGAGCTCATGTTGAAAAGTGTTGGGCAAGGGAATTTCAGTAATGTGGATTTCAATGTTTAAATAAGCTTTACATGTGTACAGGTCTCCATGTCCTAGGAAAAGTGAATAATTAACTCTTTGTCCTCTGTGCTTGAAGACACCACCACTACAAACTCATTCTACTAGGGAAGGGAAAAAGGGAAGCAAAATATGCAGTAAACGTTCTCAAAATCCCTTTCAAGCCATAAAACACATTTCAAGATCAGCTTACTGCACATACTCAGCGTGCAAAACACTGCCAACAAACTTAGAGCTTTCAAGTCCGTTCTTTTTAAGGGCTGCGTAATGAGGGCACTGTGACTAGCTAAAATACAAAGCCCCAGCACCAGGCTACAAACCGTCGCTAAGAATTCAACAAATAGAGTAAGTCTTTCACTGGCAACAGAGAGCTTCTTAAAAATTGTTTTCCTTTTACTTACCTTCTGGATCACTTTTTAGAGGTCTGCGGATTAGTAACTGGGACTAGTCTTGTACTTACAATTTGGAATTTATCCCATACATTTAAGGCATGAAGTAGGTCAGTTCTGAGATTACTTTTTCTTCACTAGGAAGGATTCAGTCTCTCATCCTGGCTGAGCAAGACCAAGGAATTCCTAACAGCCATTTCTGGAGCCAAGTCAAGTCAAAAGAACTGTTTGAGCAAAGCTCACCACGACCAGGACCAGGATTTCAAAGAGACACAAGCATTTTGTAATTAGAATTAGGCTGACCACACCACAGGTCACGGGTTACTGCTCACCTACTCCTGTTCTCACTCCACATTGCACTAAGCCCCAACCTGGAGGCTATGGTGATGCTGGCTCTCCAGCAGCCCTGCTCGAGGAGGCACGCCTGACCAGGCTGAGCAGTGCAGCGACACAGTGGCTGGCCACAATAGGAGCTGTCCCTTTTGGAGCAAGGAGATGAGGTCAGAGAGCTTGTCTGGCTGCAGAGCACCTGGATAGCAAACACCTAACCGTGCCACAACCAGCAGCTTGTGGAACAGCCTGTAATAAAGCAACACGTGTTTGTCACAGCTTTCCATAGAGGACCATAGGTTGGTGGCTGCACTAAGTAACCTCTCAAACCTGGTTCATAACCTTTCACAACCAGATCAGACCCAGATTTTCCGAGGAGCATTAACCTGCATGATCACAGGGCTGGCCAGCTAAGGTCTCTTGCATCACCGCACACACAGAGGGAGAAATCAATTTTTTCTCTATTTCCAAAAGCCAGTCTAGGAGCTTAGAAAAGCCAGATGTATGCAAGTCCTTTTACATACAGGAAGGGAGAGAGGCAATGCTCACACAGCCATGAAGTGGCTCAGGTGGCGGCAGCAAAGTGTACGTACAAGGTGCCAAGAGACTGCACGTGCCTGCTGGAATATGTCTTGATGTTTCCAGGTTGTCCTGTACCACAAAACAAACTCAAACACTTGGTAACTAAGAAGAGCCCACTCGGAGCACGAGAGCTATTTTTAAATGCCCTGTCAATTCCCATAACACTTCCACATCACACCAAGGGGAAAATGTCTTCTGGCATAGAAGATGGACAAAATTTCAACCCATCCAGTTTCCCCATAGATGCTTCTTTGGATAACATTTAACAGCCGACATCAAACAGATGCATCTAAATAGGTAATCTAAAAAGAAACGGTGACCCTGAAACAGCTCCAGGTCTGCTTAGGATAAATTTTTTTAGCAAGGAATTTCCACAGCAGCTGGAGGCTCATGCAAGGGAGGATTTTAAAAGCAACCCACAGTACGCTCCTGTTCACCCTGTTCTACGGATTTGTTAATTCCTGGGAGAAGAGCACTGCCTTTGCTGACATGCAAATTCAAGATCAAACAGTTGTCTAAGAACTATTTGCAAAACGTTTGAAGAGGGGAAGAAAAAGGGAGGCAGCAAGCAGATTTCCTAACGCCATATCTTTATCAAAGCTTCATTTGCTGTGTTTCCCACACTGTAAGAACCACTCTTAAGTGTATGCTTGTCTGACATGATTAATACTCGCCATGAATAAAAGCAAATACTCTGGTTTTCATTCCATCTAAGCCTTGACACAGACCTTGGATGAATCCAGTGATGAGCTCGAGGCCTTTGATCCCAGCCTTTGTATAACTGGGCTTTAGTACATGTTTTCTAAGCAAGAAGGAATGGAACACATATGGCAGACGCCTGGAAAGAGCCTGCTTCTTTTCTGTGCTCTTCTGCTTGCTCCTGGTGCCCCACTGCACATGAATATTAACTGGAAGAGGAACGCTGAATTTGAAACTCATATCAGGAGATTCAGGGGACCAAAGGCATTTCACTAAGTTCCTAAGGATTCTTCCCTTTAAAGCACAAGATATCCCCCAAAGCACACAGCCACAAGGACAATGTGCACCAGTAAACTAAAATCCACAGTGAAGAGCAGAGCTGCACTTCGACAGCCTGCCTCACCAAAGAGATTTCGTCCAAAACCAGAAGCAGATGACTGCACTTCTAACTCAAAAGCCATATTACTCCTGACAGTTCTTTGTTTGTCTCTAGCTGGACCAGCAGCAGTGAGATGTCTGTGATGCTCATCACACGGAGGAGCTGCTGGGGCTACAAGCCAAGTCAAAGACAGAACACGTGACCATCTCACACTGCAAACACAGCAATGTCCATGCTGGAGGGAGAGCTGCAGAAGAAATGATGCTTAGAAGCACTGACATTAAACTCACCTTTTTTGGGGCAACAAACACAAGAACAATCCAAAAAGGGTTGCTCTCACCAGCTAGTGCACTTTCTACCCTAAATTCACAGCAACAACCAATGCTGCAATCCTTGTACAATGCAGTCTTGCACTGCACTCACACTGCTAGCTAACAGTACCTGGGAGCAGCAGGAGGAGCTGCCTCAGCCACATTACCATTGAAAAATCCCTCAGTAGGGCTCACGTTTATTTCTCAGAAATTTAAAAGGCTGTTCCAAATCACCACAGGCGAGAGATCATGGAATCTGGAAGAAAGAGCAGCACTGCATTTTCTACAACATCTCTGACAGAAAACAAGAAGCAAATCCTTGGTGTCAACTTGCTATGACCAGCACCACCCTGCTGCCATCACTACAGCAATCACGGTCACCCATTTTAGAACCCTCAAACCCAAGGACATCGGCAGACGGTCCTTCTGAAACAGTCTAGGAGGTTAATATGAAAGTGGGCAGTTTTCAACTGATCAATGCAGGATCTTGTGCAGCACCCAAGGATTTGCAGGGACAAGGACAGGGCAGATGGCTGAGGCTGGAAACAGTAAGACAGCAGGACTGGCTGTGGTTCTCATCCATCACAGTTCATTACCTTGCCAAGTCCCTAGGAACATGCTAAGATGACCTGACCCCAGCTTGCTGCAAAGCTGTGGGTTTATTACCTTCATGTGAGTAAGATCACCTGACACATCTCTCATTCCAGAGCCTCTGCATTTGCACTTGCCAGTACACTTCTCTCCTGCAGCAGGTCAGAGCTGTGAGCTTTCCATTCTGTCAGCCTCACAGACTCCTTACCTGCTGCAACCCTGATCTTCATTAAAACTGATGCATTGTCCCTTCAAAAAATGTATGTGGAGAAAAGGAAAAACATGAGGCTTAGCTAATAAGAATTTTTTAAAAATTCAAAACTTGGACATTCTCTCGAAACAAGAAGTGTTTTTACATCTCTGCAACTCAGCTCAGCTCTGTAGTCAGAGGCTGGAGCAGATGAGATGAAGTGCTAACTCTGGGAACTGCAGTACCAACAGAAGGAACACGTCCAGTTAAAGTGCTACCTGCTTTTCTCTGTGGTCTTGGAGATCATAAGACATGAGAAAAAAGATATTTTATGGGAAGTGGCATATGGAAGAAGAGTCAAAGTCTTAGTTTGCCAGCAGCAGTGAGATGGATGTAGCTTGAGCTGTGTGGTTAATTCGTATGCAAGGTCCGTGCTGGAATTCAGAAACTAGTAGATTCCTCCATCCCACAGCAGCTGGTCCTGCTCTGTTCCTCCTCAGGTTTGTTTTACCCACTTCAATGCCAGGCATGCTCCCTTCACTGACATCTCTCTCATTGGCAGGTGAGTCTGACAGCAGCTTCTCTCTATATTCCCTTTTTGATAAGGACGTTAGGTCACCAGCTACCTGGCTCCAATGAGCACATTCAAGATTCCCTGCAGAGGAATATTAAATTATGAAGTACTGCTTTTTCCAGCTCTGGCAAGTAAGTGTGCTCCTCCCTTTTGTTATTCAAGCAGTCCCCAATGCAGAAGGGTTGCTGACGGCGAAGAAGCTGACAATCCTGGAGGAACAGGGGTTTACTATCTTGAGCTAAAGTTCAATTTCATTACAGTGACACATTAGCAGAAGTTCAACAAGTTAACGGCGATTACACAGGAGGCAGACACAAGCTGGGTCTAGTTTAGTTTTTCTACCTGACGCATCACTTTGTAACGATAAACCCACAGCTCAATAGCTTTGTCCGCATTTGCCCTCTCAGAATTGTCGGTCTGGGGCTCACGCATGACCAGTGAAAGAAAATCCACAGGACAGGACAAACAGGAATCCTGCTTCAGGGCAGGCCAGAGGAAGAAAGTAGCGGTAGCTTGACAGCAATGTTGCACAGAGCACAGTCGGCCAGGGCACCACATGCTGTATGTGTGATGCAGCCAGGTGCCTTCCTAGGGTCAGCTCTGTGACAAAAACTGGGCTGGAGGCTTGTTTTGTTAGAAGAAAAATAAACTGAGACAGAGAACCATAATCACAGTTGAGAGCAGTCAAGGAGCAGCAGAAGCCTCTGCCTCAGAGGTAGTCACAACCAGATTCCAAGCACAACCCAGACAGCTACCATGGATGCTATTGGAGGCAACACAGGTCACCTCTGACATCGATCTCCTTTCCTATGAAGCTGGTGCCACCATCCTCACGTTCTCTGCTGTCCCTGAAGCAACAGCTCCTGAAGAAAAAAAACCCTGAGACGCGCTGACCCCAACCCCAACCCAGAATGCAGCCCAACCCAAAAAGCCTCAAAGCACCTCTCAATCCCAGCTTAGCACTGCTCCAGATCCTCAACAAGAGCACGTTGCACCATACCAAACTGCATTATGTTGCAGTGGACAAAACCATGTCCCTCCAGCATTCCAGTAGCTCCAGTATGCCCAGCTATAACTGGGCACGTGGTACCCCATGCACTCAAGCTTCCGCTCTGCCGAGCCACCAGGATGAACCCAGTCTTGTAGGGCCAAGGTTGCTGGGACTTGCGTCAGAGAGGCTGCTTCCAGCAAGGCTCAGCAAAGGGCCAGGGTGAGGAGAGGTCAGTCTCAAAAAGCACAGGTTTGGTCTGAGGCCCTGAAGACCAGCAGAACTCACTGAGGTGCCTGTATGACACCAACGAGTCAGAACACTGCCCGCAGCTTGCAGCAGGCCTCAGAGGCACCCATCCCAGGTCAACACAGGCAGTCAATACCGCACGGACGCTACATAAGATCTCTTCCCACCCCAAAAATGTTCTCGGTTACCATGATTCAGCCCTCAATCTCTGCGTCATTGGCCTGCAGCAGCCTGATCAGGGCCCGGCACCAGATGTGCCATGACCCCGAGCACAGCCCAGGGCTCTACGCTTCAGACCTGTCAGATCCATACAAATTAGATGGGTGGAGAGAAATAATACCAAAACACAAGCAAGCACCCTAATGAGACTGCTGCTGCATCAGCGAAGAGGCCCTGGCATTTGCATAAGCCACAATCAGATCTTCATCCTCCCGCGCTGCCCATCAGCCACGAGCCAGCCAGACCTGAGGCTCGGCTTCTCTCTCCCCCGGAGGTATTAAAACCAAAACACGGAGCTCGTACCAACCGCACCGCCACCAGCGTGGCCCGCACCGAAGGAAGGGCACCACGAAGGGCTGGGACACGGACAGCACGGCACGGCGACACGAGGCGCACAGGTGCCCGAGGACAGGCCGCGGCCGCTCACCTGCGGAGCTCCTGGATGTCGGGCGGGATGCCGTGCAGGCGGTTGCCGCCGAGGCTGAGGCTCTGCAAGCCCCGGAGGCCCAGCAGGGCGGGCGGCAGCTCGGCGAAGCGGTTGCCGCTGAGGTTGAGGACGCGCAGGGAGCGGCTCAGCGGGGCCTGCCCCAGCGCCTTGGGCAGCGAGCCGGGCCCGCCCAGCCGGTTGTTCTTGGCCAGCAACGTGTGCAGGCGCGGCAGGGCCAGCAGCTCCTCGCCCAGCTCCGCCAGCCCCGTCCCGCTCACGTCCAGCACCTCCAGCGCCGGGAACCACTGCGACAGCCCGGCAGGCAGCGGGCCCCACAGCCGCCGCGGCGACAGCACCAGCCGTCGCGCCTCCGCGCTGCGCCGCGCCGCCAGCTCGGCAGCCAGCTCGGCCGCCGCCGCCTCCTCGCCCTCCGCCGGGCCCCGTCGAGGCGGCTCCAGCTGCGGCTCCGCGGCCGCACCGCCCGCCGCCGCCATCCCGCTCGCCGTCCCCGAGCGCCCCTCCGCTCCGCCCAGGAACCTGAATAGCACCGCCGCTCTCTGAGGCCGTGCTCGATCCCGGGCCCGCCGCCCACCGAGGGGGGAGTGGCGACCGAGGCCGAAGGGGCCGGAGCGCTCGTATTCATGTTTCGGGGCTCCCGCCGGCGGCCGCAGGGGAGGCGGAGACCCTGCCGCCGGCCCGGAGCGAGCATGCCGAGGGAGGAGCGCCTGAGGAGAGGCGTGCGGGGTGGGATGCCGTTAGCGCCGAGGTACGGCGTTACAGCCCCTTCGCTACGGCCCGGTCGTCCTTGCGGCCCGCCCCCGGCCGGCCTGGCCTGCTGTGGCTGCGCCAGCCGCACAGAGCGCCTTGTCTGCACGGTCTGTGTATCTCCAGGGATGTCCTCGCCTGCGCCTTATAGCACAGCTTCACTCCTAGGACGTTCGCAGGGCTTAACCCACGAGGCTTCTGTCTGTAGAACTGCCAGGTTACAGGCTGATACCGAAATGGCCCTGCGGCTACCACGTATTACATGCACGAGCAACATGAGATTCCCATTTTCCATTTGTTTGAAGCTCAGCTGCGATGTGATGAAGTGCACGTAGCCACGCCGTACAGCTGCTCGCCAACACTCACTTGTGCTTCACTGCCTAAAACAGCAGCTCAGAGCTTCTGCTAGAGGTGGGCAACAGGCTTCTTGCTCTTCATCCCTCCCACAGCCCAAATCACTTAGCCTTGCTAAGCATGCGTGTTGCACGAGGCAAAGTGTTTATAGTAGAATCTAGCCAGATTTGTAGCAGACACTTCCTTCTCGTCCACCTTAAAATCCTGGGGAGTTCCAGCAGCAGAGATTAAAGTTAGAAAATAGACCTGTCTTACAGTTGAGCACTGAATGCCCAGTGAATGTCAGCATTAAGACAGCGTGCACAGCAGCTCATATAAAATAAGGAGGTCCTGTGAGCATTATTTGCCACAGTGTGAAAAGAGCAGAACCCAACCGAAGACAAACATTTACAGCTTTTCTTCTTGACTAGTTCAATGCTTCTTAACTAGCCCAAGGCTTCCGACTAGAAGGTTCTGAGACTTCCCCGATGCCTCTTGGGACAGAGCAATTGCACCAAGCTTTATGGCCTGTGTCCCTGCATGCTTCCCGGTACAACGTTTTGCTCTCTCTCAGCAGCATGACCCTAACTCACCTGCACCTTGTGATCTGCTGTAACACCAGCCCTTTCCTCTGGAACACTCTTTTACACACCTGCCTGCATGAAGCAGGAGAAATCAAGTCCACAGAGGGCAGAACCCTGAACTGACACTGTGCTCTGTGCAGTACAAACACAGAGAATCATATAATGACAGAATGGCCAGGGTTGGAAGGGACCTCAAGGATCATGAATCTCCAAGCCCCTTGCCACAGGCAGGGCCACCAACCTCCACATTTAATACCACACCAGGCTGCCCAGGGCCCCATCCAACCTGGCCTTGAACACCTCCAGGGACAGGGAATCCACAACCTCTCTGGGCAACCAGGTGCCAGCATCTCACCACTCTCATAGTGAAGAACTTGAACACATAACAGGTGTGCAGCTGCTAGGGGAGCAAAAAGAATTCTGAATTGATTGTAAAGCAATCCCATCGCTCAAAGTGCACGGCTGGGAGGTAGTTGTGGCTGCAGGCAGTGCTTCTGCCACTGGCTTACCTTGTGGTTGCGGCTTCCCACTTCTCTTTACAGTTTCACCAGCTGGAAACCACAGAGGATTGCGTCTTACATTTGTCAAGTGCATGGAGATCTGTGTACGAATGCCACCACAGGATGTGCAAAAGGCAGCTGGTTTGTTTTTTTGTTTTTTGTTTTTTTTTTTTTTGGTTGGTTGGTTTGGAGAGACGAAAATGAGGAATCCAGGGTTGTAAAAAATGAAACAAGTGTTCTTTTTTAAATTTTATTTGGCAGTAATATCCAACCCCCCCGCCCCCGCTTCAAAATATTACAAAATCAAGTAAAATAAGTGCACTAAGGAAACCTACAGAATACTGATAAACTTCACACACGTACAGGAGGGAATATAGAGGGAAGAGTAGGACTTCTTTGTTTGTTGCTTAAATTTGCTTTTTTAAAATAGTGCCTTCCCTGCCACTTGCAGTCTCTACAGCAATTGTCTCAGAGGGCAACACCTGGAACTCAGCACTCCCTTCCTCAACAGCCAAGTCACCCTGCAGATGACAGCGACCCCCCTACCTGTTGTGAGTAGGCCAGATGAGAATCTCCAGAGATATCCAAGGCAGGTGAGTCTCATGTGGTTACCACAGTTAGCCTTTCCAACCACCATCATTCTCCATAGTCACATATTCCCTTTGAGGGTACAAGGAGAGAAAAGCTACACCTGTAGCACCTCTTTCCATAGGGGCACATTCACTGCACCCCTACACCACACTGTCCTAGGATATGTTACATGGCTTGTTAAGAGAGCTTAGCTTGCCTTGCCTGAAGGAGCAGCCAACTCCTGGCCTCAGTCCAAGTGCAAGCTCTGTGAATCTTGACTGCTAGCATACAACTCCCCAGCCTACCCCAGCAGGCATCCTCACAGACTGCAACATCTGCAGGAAGCAGGAAGGGGACTGGAGAATTAAGCCTACAGAAGCCCTTCTGCATAGATGTCTCCTGCACCATGCTTTGCTTCTCCTAGTTGGAGATCTTCCTGCCTGGACAATAAGATGTTCTTCCCATCCAGGGAAAGCCTTTAAGGCAAGCTGTTGTGTTTTTTTCTAAGGCACTTCAATGATCCAAGCTGCAAGGTAGTGAGCTGGGAGGCATGAGTTGGGGCAGAATAAAGCAAAATATTTATTGACTATGTTCCTGTGATTCCAGAACCAGCACATGATGCTGCTTTATCCCTCTCTAAGGGAGGAGCTAGGAGATGGTTAATGAGTACTCCTGTTCCACCAAACATGTCCTTCAGGGCCACCAGAACACAGTGACTCGCATTATTTGCAGCTCCTATGGACTCATCCACTCAAATCACAGGTCCTAGCTTCTCAAATCTGGATCTTCATGGGAGAAGAACCCCTGCAAGAACCAGCCCCATTCTGTACTTACTGTGCCAAAACATCCAAACGTGGCATAGTAAGTTATGATTCCCACAGCAGATGTTGCACTGCGTCAGTCAATGGAAGTCCCCTGGATTCACATCAAGGACACAACTCAAAGACCAGACAACTTTGAATAATCATGGTTCTCAGGAGAGACCACAGGAGGGATCAAGCTCTCTCTTCTTTTCTTATATTTGCAAGACATCAGCTCAGTCTTCTTCTTCAAGGAAAACACTGTGCCAGCAAGGAAAGGTGGAGACACAAGCCCTGCTGATCTTTTCTCAAGCAGAACATGCTTTTGCTGATGCAGGCTGAGTTTCGCTTCAGTAAGCACTATGGACTGCAAGACACCTGGCAACAATTGCTGAAGTTATTCAGAAACAGGAAGATAGAAGTCACAGGCAGTCCTCTTGATTCAGGGATGTGCCACTGCTTGGGATGCACAGCAGGGACATGAAGGGAATGTGGACTGAGGATGCTTCGGTGTGTAAGTATATGAAGTACACTAGACAACTGCAGGAGAAAATCAGCTGGGCATGAGGCTAGAGAGGTGACTGTCAACAATACAGCTTTTCATTTTTAACTAGGACCAATGCTCTGAGAAACAAGATACTTGAAAATGACCCACAAAAGGTAGTAAAAAATGGTCTGATCAGAGACACTGAAAACTGTGTCAGTAAGAAGGGTTCTAGCCTGACCCTGAACACACACCTGGAATTAAAGATGAATGCTTCTGCCTTATCCCAGAGGGAGATGGAAAACCCAAGATGATGGCTAGCAGCTCAAACTTCAATTGAACAGTTTTCTATGCATTAACCTACTAATGACATGCCTCGTCCCTCTGTCTCTAGACTACCTAGCAGGTCCCTCTGGGCAGTTTAAGACTCTGAGCACGCGGTCAGTGCTAGCCAGGGGAGCAAAAGCCAAGAGAGCTGCAGTGTCAACCTGTGTCTAGTAGAAATTACATCCAGCCCTGCCTCTTTGTTCATTGAGGGACGCTGCAATCCCCAAATGAGAAACACCCTGTAGGTAGGGCTCACAAGTTGCTTGCTTGTGGTGACTTGGGTGCAGTGTGAAACAAATTGTGCACGGGGCATTACAGCACTGTCAATAACAAAAACCCACAGGCTGGGTTTTCGTGAAAGATCTAGAACTACGAAACATACAAATGCTGAATCACTACCATAGGAAATAAAATAATAAAAAACAAAACAAAACAAAAGGGGGAGTCAGCATGTGAATGTGATAAGAAAAAATATGATAGCACCTTTAAGGAGGGGGCAAGGAGAGTTAAGAATGAGATGAGGTCAAAAGGAACTGTGTTGTGTTGTAGCCCACAATGTACTGGAGGAGCTGCTGGGGACAGTCTGGTGGAAAGTAAGGAGGAATGTGCTGGACTTCTGCCAGCAGCACAGCACCATGACTTCCAGGTGTCACATGAGGCTGATCAGCTTTGAGGAGCTCAAACCAAAGTGGAGGGTAAGAGGGACAATGCCCTTGGCTAATTATGCCCTGCAGCATATATGCTCAGCCAAAAAACTGCCAGGCCTGTGCTGGTGCTGACAACTCTGAATTGAAGACCCCCTCTTCTATCCAGCACTGACCACCATCCTTTCCCCAGATCTAGGGGAACAAGAAATCCCCATTAGCTCCTATGAGAAACTACTGTCACCATGTGGAAGGGTCCCAGGGGCTGCTGTAGTTTCCCCCCAGCCTTCCAAGGCCCCAGCAATGAAGCTCCCTGACCTGGTGGGCTCTGCTCCCCTTTCCTGGCCCCATTCTCTGTGTATTACAAAACAAATAACCCATCGCTATACAATGTAAATATCTGTGACTGGGCAACTGTAGCAGACTCTTGTGCATATTGAGATCAGCACTGGAGGACAGGGCAGCAGGTTGGGCCCATCCTCCTGGG